TGTCGCATTGTCTGCATTGGCGGAAATATTGTTTGCCGTTGTGTGTGTGTGTGTGTGTGTGTGTGTGTGTGTGTGTGTGGCTGCAACATACAAACGAATGCCATTTGATTGTTAGCAAGCAGACGCTTCACTTCACATTACTGTCGATGGTTAGGTCGTGAGGGTGATGGGCGTTTCAGTTGATACTGTTTATTATTGCCAGCCGACTGAATGCTAACGACAGAAAGGAGAGGAAGAGAGATGGTTATGGTGAGAAAGAGAGAGAGAGAGAGAGAGAGAGAGAGAGAGAGATGATGTTGATAGGTTACCACACTGATGTGTCAGTCTGAGAGAAATTACAAGAGTATGAATGTCAAATAATTACAAATTAAAAAAAGAGATTATTGGTTTTTAAAGCGGCAAAGTGATGCACTAGGTTTGGCGGTTAGACTAAGAAGAACTTTTATTCAATGTATTCTTAAATTGGGGTATCGAGCGCAGTATCGATATCCCTGTTATTAACATTAGTAATCGGAATGTTGTATTGATCTTTTACATATTTTCAACAGAGATAACTAATAGTAATAACTAAGTCAGAGTACGCAGATTATAACCAACTTTGAAAAATCATTCATTCTAAAAATGTCTTAGTGATTAATAGAAATTCATTAATTAATAATTAATTAAATTAATTTTTTTACCTTCTGATTAAAATTTGTACTTTACCGAACCAAATAATAAAACGTACAGTTACAATTTAATAATAATTTCAATAAAATTTTCTGCTTATATTTGCGAGACATGAAATTTGTAAATTTATTTTTTACTGTTCAAAAGAACACAACTTGGATAGTTGTAAGCATCTCAAGGTGCAACACTGTTCGGGTACTTTGGACGGCATACCAACTGTCCGACAAGTGTCGATTAGCGACGAACGTAGTCTCTGAAAGCAAGTCGAGAGTTAACATTAAATACACATATAAACTGTGAGCTCATTTATTACATGTGACAATTTCGTCGAGAGGGGCGAAAGTTCGATATCGTGATTATACTTGGGCTGGGGATGTGCCCGTTTTATCTGAAAGCAATTAAACGATGATTCAAAAAATATATGTATGTATATGACAATGATTTTAATCACCTGTTCCCATTTTTAAGCGGTACTCTTTTTGTTGTGTTGCTCTTTTCCGAACAGGACCATATGATGTTTAGCATTCTTGCCAAATGCACTAATTTCTTCCAAATCGGCAATTATAAATATGATCATTTGAAGGTTTAGTATTCAAGAAAATTATCATTTTGATTTAACAATTGAACCATTCATACTCTTTAAGATTTACAACTGCTGCTGCTTTTAAATGCAGATAAGCTTATCATAATTCTAAATATCAGTAAAGACTTGTAATATCTACTTCTATCTAATGTCTATTTTCTAATGCTTGAGCTAGAAAACAGCTGTTGCTACAGTATACCAATATTCAGATTGAAATTTAATGCGTTTCGAATTTCAATGCATATTTTTTGCAAGAATAAATGAGTTTTTTCACACTTACAATTGTTCATACAAATTAACGCGGCAATATTTACATCCATAAGTACAACAAGTAAGAAGACTGTAGTCGACTGACTTATCGGGGTAGGTCGGAGATGTCAATTTGAACTAGATGAAAAGATAAAATATCTATATGATTCATGTAGGAAAGTTACCTACAAATAAATGCTTTTCAGAAAAACTTAGAGAGCGACCAACCTAATGGAATAAGAAAATTATTACCTATTGCGATTGCTAATTACATTATAATAATATTGATTGTAAATTTGAATTGAATATATATTTGGACAACATACTATTACTATTAGTTCTGCAAAGATAATAGTCATGATTATAATCAATGATCTTATGCAATAAATACAATACCTGTTTACCAATTTGTGAGGATATGCCTAAAGTCAAATAAAATCTTCTATTTCAATTTTTATTTTCAAACTCGGCTGCGAGTTGCTGATCTGCGTCCCTCTAATTGGCAATCAGTTGGCATGACTGATTGGTCCGGGTGGCAACGCCTATTTCTGCCGAAATGCAATCGAATTGCTGGCCTTCAATCAGTTCCAAAATGTTCAGCGCTGCGCTATTTCAACTACAGCGGCGAGCCCTCATTCTGTTGCACCGCGGTACTATTTCTTTGCTGCGTTGCTCAGACGAGCCACGAGAATGAGCGATTTGCAGCACGGAGCTACATACATACATATGTATGTTGCATGCACACATTTCATGCGTTTATCGGATTGTTCCTTGGCTTTAGCGGCACCCATGTAATGTTTAATTAATTTTTTATTTAAAGTACATTTTTTTTATATAAGTTACTTATTGGCTTGAATTTCATTTCTTAGCTTGTAATTTTTTTTTTGGAAAAAAAGCCTGCTGACAGCGATGGAATAAACCAACAATTTTGTGAGTGTGGCTATAACACACAATAAAGTCCTGAACGAATAAGACCCTATTTGTAAATTTATAAGAGCGCGAACGAGCTTCACACCTGAATAAATACGGCAACTCTTGTGTGCCGTTTGGTCGAAAATACTCTTCCCCTTAAGGGAATATCATATCATATTGTCAAATGAAATACCACAATTCTCACATGTGTGAAATCTTCTCTAAACGGTATCCATTAAATAGAGCAGAAATATAAGTGTGCCGTAGATTTTTTGGCTGGCAATCAAACTAATATCGTTAGGAGGCAAGGAAATTACTTGTATCTTACAATTGGCGTTTTTGGCAATTACCAATAAGTAAGTACAACGAAGTAAATCCCAGTACCAGCAGTAACTTTATTTCTATATAATTACATGGCGAATACTACATGCTTTTTATATTTGCAGCTTTATTTATAGTACCCATTTGCCTATATAATAATTATATTGTTTAATTAAATGGATTTATCGGGGATAAATACTGATACACTTTAATGCCATAGTTATATTATAGGAAACTAAGTGCCAAAGAGGCGATGGCTAAAATCAACAACTGGCGGACTTTGCCACACACTCTGAACGGTATCAACGGCCACCTGATTGCGCCAATCACCAATGCCCTTGAATAAGTTGAGAAACATGCTTGTGAACAGTGTTATATCCTCCGGATTGAGCGACGCTGAATTTTGCGGCAATGGCGGCATTATTGGAATTTTGACGGCTGTGTTGCCAGTGCCATTATAGGCTGGCATCGCCTTAGCAGCCTGCAGTGGGAGTAAATCTAAAGTCACCTAACAAAATGATTCTCAAATGTCACTTACAGCAGCAGCGAATAGCAGTAGCAAAATCAGCAGGATGCTCATCATTGGATCTCCTCTTTTGACGTCAAGTGAACTGAGTAGCGCGGCAGAAAACGACTTGATTTTAAGAGAAGTTTGTAGTTAAATGACCCCGGGCATTAATTAATTGTCAAGTTCTTAGCTCGTTTGACATGGTACACTATTTCGTGTTTGCCCAAGTCGAGCAATGGGCGACATTTGTGTCAAGAGTTCGAGATAATTGAATACAGAAGTAAAAGCAAAATTGCTGGGTAAATATTTAAAGTCAGGCATACGAAACGAGCCAGGTACAGATAACACTCTGTAGATATTAATCAATATTTGACTGTTGCTTGACCTTAAGATTGCTGCGACCAACTGATTTACTCAATGGGCATTATGTGTACCAAGGTTTATTTGCACAGCTGGAATTGTTTATTTAATTAAAAAAAATAAATTTCGTAGTATTAATATGAAATCTCTTGATAGCAAAATAAGATTCAAGCAATGCGTCACTTAAGAAATTGTAAACAATTTGGATTTTTATTTTTTAATAAGTGACCAAAACCACGAAATGCAGATCTTTGAAGGAGGTTTCCTTTCACGAGTTTCCTAGTAATCTACCATCCAGTTTGGTAACCTTAGCATGGCCGAAAAATATATAAGAGGACGTTCCTAGTAAACTAAACTATCTTCCAAGTTTGATAGCGATAGTTTTTAAATTGCAAGAGATACAGGCTTTTGAGAATCTTAGGGTCCGGATTGGGTATGGTCGATAATAATATATAATTATTAATATACCGGTAGTATACCAAATTTGATGGCCTTAACTCAAAAACTGCGGAAGATATAGCCATTTCCAATTTTTATGGCAGTGGGTATGATCAGAAGTGGGCGTGGTCAATGACGATCTTTGAGACCATCGCCAACAACCTACCAATAAAATTTAGTGACTGCAGCCTTCAAATTGTAAGAGTTATTCGTATTTATCGATTTACGACAGTCGACTTCCCCAGCATAATAATGGTTAAAGCACCCCAATTTTGACACTGTCTAATGCGGGTATAGACCACTGTATTTTCCAAGTTTCAAGGCTGTAGTTTAAAGTCACGTAAAAACAGCCTTGATACCTTCGGTATCGGAGTATTCAAATATCTCTACATTGACTTGACATTATTATTTGAGAGCGGAACGAACACTTTCGATGAAGTCAGAACCCTTTGTAGTTCTAAGATGTATATAAACAATAAATATATTACCTTATTGTTATTGTATTTTACCATAAATACAAAAATGATAAGTTTGCTTACACACGTTTCATCGGCCAGAAATATATATTTTTGTCAAATCGTAGATAATTCGGGAAATTACTGGAACTGCAAATGAGGTTAGCGCTTAATTTACATGTATACAATTATATGGGTTTTTTGTTTATATAAACATTCTAATCAGTTGCTGTGAATGTGCAAATAACAAATAAAAATAATATATATAAATAAATTAAAATTCAGTAAATGTAGTTCAAAAAACATAAGGGTATTCTTGAAAATTTTACCATGATTAATTAAGGTGAATGCTCTGCTCTAAATGTATAATAATCTTTACCTATATGTACACAAATTAATTTCGAATTCATTATTTACATATATGCTATTAAAAGCCTCATAAACCCCCGTTGCTGACTATCAATGCCCTATTAAAATGATTGAAGTACTCGTAAGTATGCTCAAAAACGTGTTTATTTTTAATACAAAATGATTTTGAATACAATAAAATGTATTATGAAGTTTGCTTGTTTTCCCTTTACGTGACGCACTTGTGAAGATAGAATGCACAACGCTTTGTGCAGCATTCACTGCTATCTGAACACTGTAAAATAATAAACGAAAAGAAATGTGAGAAAGTGAGAAATGGCTTCGGGCTACAAGCAGCTTACTTCATGACCAACAAGTTTACATGTTCTTCTCGTCGTTGGATCTGGCTTGGCTCTGTCTGTTATCATATCATATACGTTGTCCACTTTCTCCGTTGATTGGATGATGTTTTCATTGAGTTTAGCTGTTGTTGTTGGCTTATCATATTTTAGTGTGACAATTATGGGATCATCCTCAATGGGTTTGGCGCCAATCCAATTCCAATATTGATCGATATAGTTGCTTCTAGTTGGGTTTTCAGAATTGTGATGATACTGCGATGCTTTGGGGGCGCATATATACATATATGTCATGCATTTGCGGGAGCAACATTCCCAATGTGTTTGGCACTGAAAATTCCATTATTATATGGCAACGCTGTTAAGACATTTCAACCTGAGTCTTTACTCACATATTGTCCATTGGCGGCGCAATTGTTATCTTGCCGCGCCTTCACATACTGCATAGCACAAACGCCAATCACAAACCACAAGAAAATAAATTTGTGGCAGCGGTCCATATACATTATAACGTTAACAGAGTAAAGCATCGACTGAAGCGTTTGACATGTGAAACTTGACGCTATATGTTGCTATAGAGCTGTCTTTTGTACACAAGCAGAGAGCCGAACGCTTTCCGAACTCATGCGGGCAATTAATTCAGTAATTTAGCACAGGCAATACACTGCAAATATTAAAACGAAGTCTATATTTAAAAAGACAATGTTCTCCGTAATTTAAGTTAATTTTTTCATTTTATTTTTATCTTAACTTTATCTTTGTTTTATCTTGTATATCCTAATTCTTTTGATCGGCAAAAGCTGGTAAGTAATTTATCTGCCATGCGAATATGAATATATATTTCTGAGCTGAAGGTCTAGTCGCTAGAGCTCTTACTTGTATAATTAATTGTAATATTTTTGTAATATTAATAAACAATAATATTATATTTATAATATTCAATATCAAATGAATATAAATAAAATAAAATATCTGATATCGAAGAGCATCTTTCACACAAAATTTGATATGCTTGTAGCTACATATTTCGCTCAGTGCATAACAACTTGTTTCCAGTTGGGCATCGTTCGCTCTTCCAGCATTGAAGTATAAAATATAAAGAGCACGAAACTTCAGAAACCTGATTGTGAGAGACAGGATTGAGCCCTGACCTGTCGCAAGGGAGATGGAAGAGCACAATTCCCGAGTCGAAATAACTTGATTTGCTCACACCAGGCAACAGTAATCGGCAGTGCTCTTATACGATCGATCACATCTTATCTTATCAGAGCGGGCTTAGTGAGCTTTAACCGCAGCGACACAATCGCCACAACGTTTAGTCAAGTTTCGGTAGTCAGCGTGTGCGTTCGCATAATCACAGTGCCGTAATGTTTACGCCCTGTTTTATATTTCTGCTGATTATGGCTCCGGGCCTGTCGCAGGAGGCAGAAACCGCAAAGGCAACGGAAGCGACAACGGCATCGCCATATCCACACATACTGTCGAGACAATCGCTGCGTCTGCCCAATGATACGTATCCATTAAGCTATCAGCTGCACATTAGCAGCAATATACATCTCGGAGACTTGAGCTTCAGCGGAAATGCCACCATAGACATTGAGATTAGGCGATCGACGAATGAAATCGTGCTCCATGCGAAGAACTTGAGCGATATTCAGATAACGCTGCGACTGTTAGACAGCGTCAACCACGAATCTGCTGGTGAGCTTCTGGATTATGTTACGCACTCATACGTTCCACATGCCACATTTCTCATCATACATCCGATAATGAACTACCAGGCCTTTGAGGCCGGACAGCGTTACCGTCTTCAAATATCCTATACGGGCCTGATGGGCACGCAACCCAAGGGCTTGTATTGGATGCCCTATGAGGAGGAGATCACCAATCGTACTACGTAAGTTGGTCTTGTTGATTTTACGGTTTGATAAGCTAATTTACATTACGTACTTATTCAATATTTGCGTGCGCTTGCTTTCTTATATAATCACAAAATTTAATTGAATCGAAAATAATATACGCACAACGTATGCGTTTTGTTTTTGCTCTTTTCGGCTATTAATTTGTATACCCTATATCCAAACAAAATTCGATGAAAGGCATTTATATATTGCATGGTAACTAACAATATTGTTTTAAGGTGTAATCAAACTGATCTTAACGATCAATCACAAATCAATTTTTAGACAATGTTTCTTTTTTGGCGTACATACAAACAACAAATGAATATCGTTAATATTTAATTAATACAAGCTCATAAATATTTTTCTCTGGATTTGCAGGGTATGTGTAAGTCAAGCAAACGTGACTTAAGCTCATTCACTTGTTGATAGTCAGTGCGACTCATCAAATATGGCCTTATCATATAGAATATGAATACTCTGATTCGTTATGCGCGTCATTTTATAGCATGTAAACAAATACAAATAGACGCACATTCATACAAACCATCGACGGTTTAATGTTTTCTTAATAAAGGGACATGACTGTCAGCAGAAACAAAATCCGGCTGCGACTTGCAGTCACTTATCGCAGACAGCTGAACATCAGCAGCAGCAAACAACAATAAATTTATCAATGTAGCTTATTATAATTGTTTGTTTTTAAAATAATCTTCTTGGGATTTTTTAATTCTCTTTGGCGGGAAATTCGGCAAATAATTAAAAGTCGTTCTTCTACCTCAAAGTCGTTAACAGTTTCATGATAATTCTAAAGATTCATATCTTTATTAATAATAAAACAAATCTATGCTTATTTACAGCTATGTGGCAGCCACACAATCGGAGCCGACCTATGCACGTCTCATCTTTCCCTGTTATGATGAGCCCGGCTTCAAGTCGAACTACAGCATCAAACTGACGCACAGCAGCAGCCTCGTGGCAGTATCCAATATGCCTGTATTGGAGCTACAAAATCAGGGGTGAGTGTTCTCTCCGACAACAGAACTAAACGTAAATTAAAAATAAATTGTGATTTCATTGTGTACAGCGAGCTGACAACAACCACTTTCCAGACAACGCCGATCATGTCAACATACTTGGTGGCATTTGTTATCTCCAATTTTGAGCACATCTCTGAGACATATCGTGGCGTTACACAGAGCATCTATTCATCATCGACGTGCAAGGACAAGGGGCGAAGTGCACTTAAAAATGCAGTTCAAACTGTTGCCGCTCTGGAGGATTACTTTGGTGTTAGCTATTCGCTGCCGAAGCTGGATCATGTGGCACTGAAGAAGAACCAGGGCGCTGCCATGGAGAATTGGGGCTTAATCACATTCAAGGAGGACAGTCTGCTAGCACACGGCGTCACAGACAGGCACAAACGCATCAAGAATATGTTAATGCAAAATCACGAGATTTCGCATCAATGGTTCGGTAATCTGGTATCACCGGAATGGTGGACTTATGTCTGGATTAATGAAGGTTTCGCTACATACTTTTCCTATCTGATAACCGATATGGTAAGTTCAAAATGTGAAAGTCTGATTGGGTTATTAAATTAAGATTTCGCTTTCAGCTGCATCCCGAGGATCATGTTATGGATATATTCATGAAGGATGAAGCGGAGCATGCATTCAGCTACAGTAACTTCTTCGATGTACGTCCAATGACATACTACGTAGAGACTGAAGCGGATATCATGAATGTCTTCGATATTATCAGCTACAAGCGTTCCGCCTGCGTCATCAAGATGTTCCATCATGCCTTCCATCAAAAGACCTTTGTGCGTGGCATTAGTCACTATCTAAAGAAATTGTAAGTTCTTGTGGGGGAGAGAGAGAGAGGGAGTCACTGAATTGGTTAATTGCAATTGATCTGCCAAAGTTTAACACCCTTCCAGCCAATACAGCGTTGTCAACGAACTGGATCTGTTTGATGCAATCCAGGCGGCTATCTTGGAGGATGCACTCTTCCCTCAACAAACCTGGTCACATAAGATACGCGACATCATGTTATCATGGACGCATAGCGAATGGCTGCCCATCGTTTCGGTTATACGCAATTATGAGAACGATACGATTACATTTAGGCAACGGTCGATACACTCCAAGAGTGAGCACTGGTGGATTCCACTCAACTTTGCCAGTGCCCAATCGCCCAGCTTTGACAATACGCATGTCGAGTATTTTATGCCACCGCTTATGGAGCACACGCTCAGTTTGGAGGAGCTCAATCTGAAGCTGGCTGGTTCCGACTGGTTGATTGTGAACAAGCAGCAGACAGGCTTTTATCATGTGCTTTACGACACGGACAATCTGCAGGCTATTGCCCGGCAGCTGCAACAAAATCACACAGTTATACATGCCATAAATAGAGCAGCTCTGTTTCAGGATCTGGCTCCACAGGTCGAACGCAATGAAATCGAGTCGGTTGATGTACTATTCGATCTATTCAAGTATTTGGAGTTTGAGGATGATCTGGCACCCTGGAGTCAGGTGGCCGATACTATGGAGTTTCTGGATTGCAAACTCTTTGGTACTACAACATATTCGTTGTTTAAGCAATTCGTTAGACGACTTGTGACGCCCATATATCTGCGACTTTTCCAGAATCAGGATGCTAACGAAGCCGCTATGGATGTACTTGTCCGATCGGATATACTGTTGTTGGCCTGTCGGATGGACCTAGCCGAGTGCTTGGATTACACGCATCGCGTGGCTGCTGATTATTTTTTCAAGAAGGTCAACTTTGAGAGCGATTATCCTGATTATTATACCATACATGATTCAGTCCTTTGCATGGGTGTCAGTCATATGAACCATGAGGAATTCACTCAACTAATCGACCTGCTGCATGCTACGGATCGGAACACAGCATTTTTCGATGATATCATATATTCGTTGCGGTGCACGAAAAATCATCGACATTTGCTACATTATTTTAATCTGCTGGTGGGCGAAAACTCGACTTATCAGTTGATGGATGAAAGGGAATCCATGTTGTATCTATCCTATGTGTACAAGTCGAATATGGCAGCACGTTCAGCTATCTGGCACTTTATTGATCATAACTACAAGTTACTTTGCCGTGCACCTAACTTTGTGCAGCTCTTTAACGATATGGCCGAATTTTTACCAGCGCGTCAAAAAGCATTCGTAAGTTGTTTATTGATTATAATTGAATGAGATAATTATTGTAAATATTTTATTATTTAGTTTGCTACACTACGCCAAAATATAGATATGTATCGACAGCTGGAACATCTAAATCCCAATCACACTTTGATCGACATAAACTCGCGACGGGTGGGCAAAAAGATGCGCAACAGCGAAGAATTTCTCGATAAGTTCGAGCACCAGATACACAACTGGCTGCTTAAAGAATTGCCTCCATCGGAGAGTGAACAGCTCTATGCGGCATCCTTAGCCGTGGGAAATGGCTCCAATCGACCCACAAGTCTCTTGCGTGTGGCCAGGCGAATGGTCCAAAGTGCGATAGGTGTGAAACTGCGGTTTTAGCCCTTGTTTGTATTAAGCATAACGTGTAAGTCGAAAGTTAACTAAATAAATGTAACTAAGTAAAACAATATTATGCTCAAGTTCTATCCAAAGCGTCGGTTTGATTATGGAAGTACTCGGTATGAAACAAACTTTCCATTTGTCAGTCTTTTATTATCAGATGGCAAACAACCACATCAGATTACTACCATATTTTGCATCGGTCAAAAGATTCGCTTTGTCTCTTAGCATCTAGTCTCTTCGCAAAATCTTTTTTAATTTCAAAGAAATTCTGAACAAACTCTCCACTTAATATGTCATTACACTTAAAAAAATAGATTTTCTTTTATAGGTTCCATTGAAACTACCTGTTGAAACAATTTTGATCAATATTATTATTTTATTGACTTTGCTTAGTGCCAATCAAAAAGATAGCTTTTGTCAGGGACAATTCTCAATAAAGCACAATTCACCACAAAATCGATGAACAATTATCGATATATATTGCTTATTTTCTTATTTACTTTTATCATGGTAGGTCGAACTTATTTACCCATAAGTGGCACTGCACTATAAAAGTATTTTAGTGGAGCAATTAACCGTTTATAAACAACGTCTATAGATAAGCGGCTAGAATGTCTCAAAAGTCGAACAAGGTAATTATCGCATTGCTTATGTTTTAGTTTTATTTTGTTATAAAGGTATTATCTTAATTGTGTTTGCATAATTGAGAAATTAGAAGCAGTAATTTCATATATTTGCGAGCATTTCGAACTCGACGTTTAATGTTCTTGTGACTCGAGAGCGCTCAACATGATGCGCTGGCTAATAACTTCGGGGCTGCTGCTGCTGCTAGCGGCTAGTTTACAAGCAGGACTCTTGCCACCGCCAATTGATAATGAATCGCAGCTGGAGACCAAGGGATACCAGCAAGTATCACTGAATACTCCGCGCGAGGACGACAACAACGACGAGAACTATCGGCTGCCGAACAACACAGTACCCATTGCCTACGATGTAGAGCTGTGGACGCAGGTGGACACGGGCATACGCGAATTCAAGGGCATAGTCAAGATTGATCTTCAAGTTCAGACTGCCTCCAATACAATCACACTTCATGCAAAGGAAACGGAAAACTACAAAGCCACCCTGAAAAGCAAGGATAATGCGGCGAGTTCATCGATTCCGCTAAAGTGGAACGTTGGCACACGTGAATTCCTTCAGTTAACACCAGTGGATACCACTCTTACATTCGAAAAAGACAGTAATTGGACGCTGACCATTGAATATGAGGGTTCCCTGCGCACAGATAATGGTGGTTTCTATCTATCTACTTATAAGGATGACGACGATGCAACTCAGTAAGTTTAGTGCTCCTACATAGTATTCAGGTATTAATGTATCTTTAAATAAAGCTACCTGGCAACGACGCAGTTTGAGAGCACAGATGCACGTCACGCTTTCCCCTGCTACGATGAACCGGCTAAGCGTGCCACCTTTACCATTACTATACATCATAATCCATCCCACACTGCAATTAGCAATATGCCTGTAGACGAGACTAAATCGACGTAAGTTTGAGTGTTGTATTTTAAGTTTAAGATAACTTATTTCTAACCATTTATTCGCAGATCTGGTGTGACAGTTTTCCAAACAACGCCACCTATGTCCACCTATTTGATAGCCTTCATTGTTTCGGACTTTGAGTTCACAAGCGGGGAGATGAATGGCCTGCGACAACGCGTCTTTTCACGCAAGGGCATGCAGGATCAACAGGAGTGGACATTATGGTCCGGTCTAGTGGTTGAGGCCAGCTTAGCTAAGTACTATGATGTGCCGTTTCCTTTGCCCAAACTAGATCAGGCGGGAATTCCCCAGTTCTCAGCTGGCGCCATGGAGAACTGGGGCATAGCCACATATCGTGAACAATACATGTGGTGGACCAAAGAGAAATCCACGATTAATTTAAAAACGAGCATTGCCAACATTATTGGACACGAGTATGCGCATATGTGGTTCGGTGATTTAGTTTCACTCAAATGGTGGACGTACCTCTGGCTGAAGGAGGGTTTCGCCACTCTCTTCTCCTATGAGTCTAATGACATTGCCTTCCCAGAATGGGATACCTATCAGATATTCCACGTGAGCGACTACAACAGTGCCCTAATTAACGATGCGTCCATATCGACCCCAATGACACACTACGTCCAAACACCCCGTGAGATTTCAGGGCGCTATGGCACAATTTCGTATGCGAAGCCTGCTAGTGTGCTCTACATGTTCAAGAATGCGTGGACAGATGACGTTTTCCGTCGTGGCCTCAATCTATATTTAACACAATTGTAAGTACAGCGAATACAGAATTAATTAATTGATAAGTTTTGATAAGCAGCAAGGTAGAGATAAAATTAAATTAAAAATTAATTAAAGTCCACAGTCCAATTCAAACAATAGTGACTTTGGAATCGCATGTCAGCAACGGAACCAGCAATGCAATTAAAATGAATATTCTATTCTTGTGTGTTTGTTCTCAGTAATCGCTCGATAATTACCACTAAAAGCCATGTAATTGTTAACAAGATATTCAAGATATTTGATACTTTTAATAATAATTATACGACATTTCTTTTGTGCAGTGCATACACCTCGGCAGACGAGTGGGATTTGTTTTCCTCACTGCAGAAAGCAGCTGATGAACTGGGTCACAAGTTGCCGGTAGCGCTTGCCGACATCTTCTCTAGCTGGTCCAAACAGGCTGGTTTTCCCTTGCTTACCGTGGAGCGTAATTATCAGGATGGAACATTTACCATTAAACAGCAGCGTTACCTCAACAACAAGGAAACACCCAATGAGGATACCTGGTATGTGCCAATCAACTATGCAACGGCATCGAATCCCGATTACCGCAACACCGTCGCCTCGCACTACCTGCTCAAAGTGAAGGAGAGCACGGTGAGCGATGCAAAGATAGCCAATGATGATTGGCTAATACTGAACAAACAATCCACTGGATATTATCGCATTTTGTACGATGAGGAAAACTATCGTCGGATTGCGCAGGGCCTAATAGAGAAACCCTATGCGTTCCATACACGCAATCGTGCTCAATTGATGCACGATGCGTATCGCTTTGTGGATACGGGTCGAATCGGAGATGGCATCCTTTTGCAGCTAATGGTGTATCTGAGAAAGGAGGATCAGTATGCACCCTGGTCAACAGCCAATAGCATTTTGAATGTCTACGATAAATATCTTAGGGGCCATGAGCAATATGTGCGATTCAGCGATTTCGTTATCGAATTGGTCGAAGATATATTTGAAAAATTGGGTGTCCACGAAATACCCGGAGAACACTATCTGAACAATTATCTGCGTGTGACCCTTGTGAGCTTGGCCTGCCAAGTGGGTAGCCAGATGTGCACTCAGCAGTCACATCAAAAGCTAAAGCAGTTCCTGGAAGACAGTATTCCCATTGAACCCACTTTAAGAACGCAGGCTTATTGCGCTGGGCTGCGTCAAGCTGAGGACTCTACTTTCAATCTGGCCTTTGATAAGCTCCTCTCCTCGAATGTGGCAAGCGATCGTAGCTTATTCATCTCATCATTGGGCTGTTCGCACAATGCAGCACAGCTTAAGAAATTGGTTGAGAGCTCTATCGATAACGCCAATGGTCTCTCCTATTCAGAACGCACCTCCCTCCTTCCTGCCGCCTACCCAAGAAGCGAGGCTGGCCTAACCGCAAGCTTGGAATTCTTGGAGTCTAATTGGAAGGCATATGCCGAGCTCAGTACCAATCCTCAGCAAAAACCACTGGACACAGTATTGCGAGGCATGGCCCAATCTGTTGTTAGCGAGTCTCAGAAAAATCGGGTAAGTCTATAATCCTATCATACATTTTGATTCAGTTCATAGATTTTAAAACATTTACAGCTTAATGCACTGGTCGCCACAATAAATGGCAATGGAATTGAACACGTCAATGACGATATTGATACTGCTGTGAACAGAAACATACAGGCAAACTTCGATTGGTTGAATGTACATCGTGATCCTGTTATAAATTGGCTAATTGCTTATCGTAGCGGTACCGCTCCTCTCTCAGCCTCGATCTTCGCTACCCTGACGGCGTTAATAACATTGTTTCTGTGCAAGTTCTCTTAAATGCACATTTTCACTATACGATCCTGAACTCCCGTTTTAGGGGATATGACTCACAAAATATGGCTACATTAAACATGTATATTTGAATTTGTGGTGAAATAAACGATTTTTTTTTAGAACCACTACTAATAACAGTTTCAATGAGGTTTTATTGTTTTACCCGGAATTGGGGTTTTTTTTACCACACTTGACTTTGACCAATCTTATCGCGTTTTACGCAGCACAAATAATGTTCTGATAGTAGGTTTGGTTAATTCAATTTACAATTGATATTACAATATGTACTATTCAAGTGCTACCCATAATTTTTTTGAATCAAAATTTCATAGAACCGCATTAGCCTTGAATTTGTTGAGTGGCGATTGGCAATGCCACAGCCATAATTGAACCAATTGAACCAACCCCGTTCCCAATGAAAATTATTTTGACCGAGTTAACTTACGATTTATCTTATCTTACAGAAATTCATATCATTACATTTTCAAATAAAGCTAAGATGTATATCTCAGAAATTCATATAATATATGGATCCCCATGTAGATTATATTATAGTTTACCTTCTTGAGTTATTTTTTGTAATTTTGAGGTTGTACAGTGTAGTTTCTAGTTCCACACATTTTGAAATTTGCACAACTTTTCTTGTCACGTGAGTTTAGGTTTTTCGAATCTTGAGTACTTAGTTCTTTACTTCTTATTATTACCATACATTTTTAATCTTTTAGCTGTTGCTATAATTTGCAGAACTAATTACATACAAATTTGTATTTATGTATGTTATCATCAAATGATTTTAGTGTCTTTAAATGCCGCATGATTTCTTATCTAACAGTTTACCACTCTCATTCCCTTGACAACCGCGTCCAAGGAGTTCAATCCCAATGCCAACGAGTAGAGTGTTCATAATGAATTCGAAAATCAGTTCATTGATTTACGGTAACAAATTGAATTGGGCTTGGCGAATCTTAATCTTTATATTAGGTGAGGCGATAAGATGAGTTTTTAAAGATAAGATGAGCCATTTAAAATGTATGTGAAAATAACGTGGCAAATGTCTAGCTCGAGGCGAGAATTAGCTTAAAAGTGGAAAAACATTAAGGGCTGCTCAGTTATTGACCAGTTGACGTCGCCCCGTAGACAACATGTCTGTCGCTCTAGCACCGATCTTAGCCCTGTTGCTGGTGGCCACCGCACAGTCGGCAACCTTAAGTCAGTTTCCCCCGTTCGAAAAGCAGCATCTAACCGGGAATTCCAATCTGCGTGTGGCTCCGCGTGCCGATGAGGCCACCTATCGTCTGCCAAATAATACGGAGCCAGTGGACTATAATGTCGAGATTACCACGAATGTGCACAAGGGCGAGACAGCCTTTACCGGCAAAGTGATCATCAGCCTGATTGTTACTGAGGACACCCCCGAAATTGTGGTCCATGCGCGTCAGCTGGAGTTCATTGACGTGATAATACGCAAGGCTGATGCCACAGCTGAAACTAAGCTCGAGTATAGTCGTGATTTGGAGCGTGAGTTCTACAAACTAACTGCTAAGGATGTGATCTTTGAGGAGGGCAGCAGCTGGGTGCTAACTATCACGTATTCGGGCACACTGCGATCGGATAACGGCGGCTTCTATTTGTCTACGTATACGGATGAGACTGGTGCAACAAAATACTTGGCTACCACACAGTTCGAGTCGACCGATGCTCGCCACGCATTCCCCTGCTATGATGAGCCAGCGAAACGGGCCACTTTTACCATCACCATCAAACACGATCCCAGCTACAATGCTATCAGTAACATGCCAGTTAATGCCGAGGCTTCGAGGTTTGTTTATTTATAAGTTTTTCACATATTTACCACTTACGGATGTCCATTCCGGAACATATAGAATACTTATAAATTTTCAGTTGTATGCAGAGTCTCAAATAATAAGAAAATGACAGCTAAAAGAACGAAAAATACGTTTAGTACAGCAATTTTACAGTATTTTCGTCAACTTAAGTGATCCTTATGCACGTCCTTAAGCATAGGTTATGGTTTTCATTTAATTTTCTTGGCATTCACTTAATCCCTAGTCAGTCAGGCAGGAAGAGCTATCTAATATTATTATGATATGTTTGAAAAAAAACATCCTGCCTAAAAAAAATAAATATGATTCCGTAATAAATGACTCAATTTTTTTTGGTATAGCTCTGGCGTTACGACATTCGAAACCACTGTCAAAATGCCCACATATTTGGTTGCCTTCATTGTATCGGACTTTGTGTATACTGAGGGTGAGATGAATGGTCTGCGCCAGCGCGTTTTTTCACGCAAGGGCACTGAGAATGAGCAGGAATGGGCACTGACGACTGGCATGCTGGTGGAAAACCGCCTGTCCGATTATTTCGGAGTGCCTTTTGCTCTGCCCAAACTGGATCAGGCGGCCATACCTGATTTTGCTGCTGGCGCCATGGAGAACTGGGGAATGGCCACCTATCGCGAGGAGTATCTGCTGTACAATCCCGAGAAGTCCACAATTAACACAATGACGAACGTTGCCACCATCTTGGCGCATGAGGATGCGCATCAGTGGTTTGGTAATCTGGTTGCCATCGAATGGTGGGGCTATCTCTGGCTAAAAGAAGGCTTTGCCACACTCTTCGAACATTTGGCTGTCGATTTGGTAAGTGGTCTTTATCTAATAACCTTTTAACATGTCTCTAGCCCATTTTCTCGCTCAGGCGTATCCAGCATGGGATATTTTCCAACTGTTCCACGTTGGCTCCTATCAGGGTGCCTTGAGCGTTGATGCCAATCCCAGTATCCGCCCCATGACAAATTACGTGGAGAAACCAGAGGATATAGGAAGGCAATACGATTCGATTGCGTATGCCAAGGCAGGCTCTGTTCTAGACATGTGGCGTCATGCGCTAACCAACACTGTTTTCCAACGTGGTTTAACTAACTACCTGAAGGATAAGTAAGTCATTTGAAAATCAAATTGAATTTGCACAAGAAAAAGCATAGATTTCTTTGTGATTTGTTGAAATAGTTTATAAATTTTCGACTGAAATTCGATAAAAGAAGAATCACTCCATAGAAATTGTCGAGAATGTCGACATTACGTCTTTACTTGACTTTCTTTGACTTTCTGAGTTGTTTTTCTCTTTAACCCATAAACTAACTGTGCATTATTGCAGACAATACTCCGCTGCCAACGAGACAGACCTGTTTGATGCCATTGGGCTAGCCGCTCGGGAAGAGAACTATGAAGTGCCGGCCAAAATTGAGGATATGCTTGTTAGCTGGACACGTCAGGGTGGCGTCCCAGTACTGAATGTGGAGCGCAACTATGAAAATGGTTTCTTCACCGTTCAGCAGGAGCAGTACACCAACGACAAAAGTTACCAGAGCAGCCTGCTTTGGTATGTGCCGTTCAATTATGCCGTCCAATCGAATCCCGATTTTCGCAACACCGAAGCCACAGACTACCTCCTCAATGAGAAGCAGAAGCTGATCGAAGCCAAATCAAACACCGATGAATGGTTGATTCTTAACAAGCAGTCCACTGGATACTATCGCATCAACTACGATAATCGTAACTGGGAGCTTATCATTGATGGTTTGATAAATCATTCGCACAAGATTCATGCGCGTAATCGCGCCCAGCTGATTAGCGATTCCTATAACTTCGCCACCAGCGGCCGCTTACCACATGCCACATTGCTACAACTGATGACCTATCTGCCGCAGGAGAATCAATATGCACCCTGGGCCACGGCCAACACAGTTGTCACGCTCTTCAATCGCTACCTGAGTGGCGATGAGGACTACTCTGACTTCCAATTCTACGTGTCCGAGCTGGTCAGCGATCAGTTTGACAAATTTGGCGTGAATGACCTCGCCGGAGAGCATCATTTGGTCAAGTTTACGCGGAACGTGGTCATCAATGTGGCCTGCATGGCCGGTTTGAAGAGCTGCTTGAGCGAAACGAATACCAAACTCCAAAGCCTGGTCGATAATGGCACTCCCCTTGAACCCAATCTACAAACACCTATCTACTGCAATGGCCTAAAGCAGGCCAAGGATGACGTCTTCAACTTTGTGTACGACAAGATGATGAACTCCAACGATCAAGCCGAACGTCGTCTGCTCATATCGGCACTGGGATGTGCTCAGAACGAGAAGCAACTGGAAAAGTATGTGTCCAGCAGCATTGATCATACCAACAAGTTGCGCACCCAGGAGCGCTACACGCTCCTCTCTCCGACCTATTCGCGTGGCACTGTGGGCTGGAATGTCTGCGTTGATTTCCTGATGAATCATTGGCAGGAGTATGGAGAGCTGAATTCCGGCTTTGGTGGTGTTAATCCCCTTTACTCGGACATAGTTGGCATGTCAGCCTACGTGGTGAACGAAGACCAAAAGGCCAAGCTACAATTGCTGGTCGATGAGGTCAAGAATTCCTTATTCGTGCCCGACACAATACAGGTTAGCGTGGATTCCGTCATTGCAGCCAACATGGAATGGTTGTCGACCAATCGTGGACCCATAATTTCCTGGGTATCCACCTATCGCAACGGCAGTCCAGCTTTAGGTGCATCTGCTTTAGCCCTGGCACTTTGTCTGTTGGTCGCAAAATTGTTTTAGGTGTTACTCACAATTTTAAGTTAGCTTTAGAACTAATTCATCCCTAATTCACCCACAAATGTATGTACATATATACAATCGCAATATTTTGATTTTCTAATAAAACACATAATAGTTGAGTTGAGTGACTTATTTTCTACTTCTAACAGTTGTTGAAAACATAAAAAAATGACGTGCACGTCCATCATAAATATCTCAAATACTTATCGTAAGTCAATACGATCACATGGTAACAATAAGTTAAAAAGTAAATTATCGATAAAACAACCAATCAACAATCGGCTAATCTAGCGTTGATAAGCGGCATTTTTTATGAAGCGTTTAATGGTTTTATTAAAAAGTAATTTAAAATATTAAAAACAACATACACATTATTACATTGATATTTCGAACTTTCAGTTCACCCAGAAGTTTCTACACGAAACTGACAGATTGGGAATAAGATATCATATTGCTATCATTTTATAGACCATCATAAGTATTATAATTTCAAGTACCATAAAACCAAAAGAGCATGTAATGCTCTTTATTTATGATCGATTTGATTAGATAAAAGCTAATTCCATGTCAAAGTCATGTGTCAAAGTCTTCTACTTCAATGAGAATTCATTTTAAAAATTTGCTTTACTGAAGTTGATTGTGGAGTAATTTTTGTGTTTCTTATTTGACTCCTAAGATATTTTCAATTTACAAAATTGACTTGCCATATAATAAGTGCTCCGAATACCAAATGTAAGATAATTACTTTATTCTCAAAGATAATGCTTTAAGCCTTGGACATAGTAATGGATACGGATTATGATATTTTACTTTATATTATTTTTAATTTTGACATTTTATATGGTTGAAAGTGGACAAGTTTTTCACCGGACATAATAATTAAAAATATTTAGCAGATAACGTTCAAATGTTTCGATTTAACTTTTATATATTTATTTTGATTATTTTATTAAGTACAGGCTTTAGATTGTTGTTCAGTATTAAATCTATCAATAAATAACTGTCGTCCATGATACGATTGGCAAGTACTTGCAAAAGGTGTAAATCACCGCCATAATCTCTTATCTACGGCGTCGTCGTAATCGTCTCATAATCTATCAAGACTGTTGTCTTTATCTTGGTTGAAATAAAATAAGGCTAGAGATAATTCTATGTTCGAGTCACTTAAACCCTTTATAAAGTACCGTTTGTTGGTAGGCACACTTTAGTTTGCTAAATCGCGTGTGGCGCTGAGTGTTTAAACTTTCGTGGTGCAAATATCCAAAAGTGTTGAGCCTTTAGATAACGTGGTAAAATAAATAAATTTAATCATTGGACCTTTATCGCTAATTATTAACTTCACCTTGTAGTCCACATGTTTGCCTTACGCTTGGCTGTCCTCTGCGCAGCCTGCTTGTCCATCGTCCTTGCGGACACAAGGAAATTGGACCTGCAGCCGCCCACAACTTTTGAACTTCAGAACCCGGAATATAGACTGTCTGAGGACATTAATCCTATTAACTATGACATAACGTTGCGTCCTTATTTGCTAGAAAGTGATAACACTAAACGTTTCACCTTCGATGGCGAAGTGTGGATTGAAATCGAACCGGTTAAGACTACAAAACTCGTATCGCTGCACTCAAAATCCTTAGAATACTCGCTCACCGAATACTGGCAGAAGGTGACAGGTACACCCGTCATTCAAAAGCTGACTGATCCAAAATATAATGAGCAAACAGACATCCGGAATTTGACTGCAGCCTCAGATTTGGTGGCCAAGCAGCGCTACATTCTGCATTTCAAATATACAGGCCAGATGGGTGATGATATGCACGGCTTCTATCGCAGCTACTATGTGAATGACAACAATGAGACCAAGTACGTTTGAGTGCAGTTAATATGCCTTATCTGATCATTAATAAATGTGATATCTTTTGTTTGCAGATGGTTGGGCTCTACACAGTTCCAGACAAATCATGCCCGTCGCGCTTTTCCCAGTTTCGATGAGCCGCAGTTCAAGGCCACCTTCAATGTAATTCTGATTCGTCATCGCAGCTTTAACACCGTTAGTAACACAAGGCAAAAGTCCACCACGCCCACTACAGATCCGTAAGTCCTGCTTGAATTCTCTTTGTATTAACCCACTTAACTTCTAATTTGCTTTAGGAATTACTATTCGGATGTTTATGAAACAACGCCAAAGATGTCCACATATCTGCTGGCTTTCATCATATCTGAGTTCACTATGCGCAATGACGATAAATTCGGTGTGCTTGCCCGCCCTGAGTATTATCCACAAACACAATACAGCTTCAATGTGGGTCGTCTAATTCTGGCTGAGATGAGCAAATATCTCAAATTGGATTACTATTCGTTGGGCAATGATAAGATGGATATGGCTGCAATACCCGATTTTTCAGCAGGTGCCATGGAGAACTGGGGTCTCCTTACCTACAGAGAACGTAGCTTGCTGGTCGATGAGTCTGCCACAACGCTAGCATCTCGTCAGTCTATTGCTCAAGTTGTGGCCCATGAACAGGCGCATATGTGGTTCGGTGATCTGGTCACCTGTAAATGGTGGAGTTACACTTGGCTGAATGAGGGTTTCGCTCGATTCTTCCAATACTTTGGCACCGCCTTTGTCGAGAAAAATTGGGAACTGGAGAAACAGTTTGTCGTGGATCAGATCCAGTCGGTGATGGGAATGGACTCGACCATTGCCACAAATCCGTTGAGTGATGAGAACACTTACACGCCGGCCCATCTTAGCCGTATGTTCAACAGCATTTCCTACAACAAGGGCGCCGCGTTCATTCGCATGATTGAGCACACCATGGGAACTGAGAATTTCCAGAAATCTTTACAAGAATACCTCAACAAACAGTAAGTTATTAGTAATCTGTGTTTTCAATATCACAAAAAGCCACAATGGCCGATGTTATCTGAAATCGTGTTTCCACATCCATTACCAAATTTTAGTTAATTTTTTTTCACATTTTCTTTGTGGTGTCACAGCGCGTATGATTCATCAATCCCGGCGTTCCTGCTGAGTGCGTGGCGCCAGAACTGGCCAGCAAATAGATTCAGCGGCAACTCAGAGGAGATCTTTGAGAGTTTTACCACCCAAGTGGGCTATCCGCTGATTAATGCCAAGTTGTCTGACGATGGCAAGACGGTCGAGTTCAGCCAGAAGCGTTTCCTGCTTAAGAATGATGGATCCGATGAGAAGCTGATCTACACGGTCCCTATTAGCTACACCTCTAGTATTGAGAAGAATTTCGAGGATACTACGCCGAAGTTGGTGCTAGGCAGTGCAAGTCAAAAGCCCACGTTGAGCGGTGTGGCCAGTTGGGTGATTGTCAACATTCAGGAGACTGGTTATTATCGTGTCAACTACACTGAGAAGAACTGGCATGCAATTCATGACGCGCTCTCCGGTAGCAACTGGGGAAATGTACACGAAATTAATCGCGCCCAGATTGTGGACGACTTACTCAATTTGGCACGAGCCGGACACATTCACTACGACCTGACACTGAAGGTGATTGAGTATTTGGAAACAGAAGTCAATTATATACCCTGGACATCGGCCTTTAACGGATTTAACTTCCTGGCCATACGCCTGGGCACCGATACCGAACATTTCGGCAACTACATTCAACAGCTGACCTCAAAGGCTTATCAGCAGCTGGGCTTCGCCGAGGCTGAAACAGACAAGGCTCTCGATATATATTTGAGGACGAAGGTGCTGTCCTGGAGCTGTCGCTTTGGCAATGCCGATTGTATTAACCATGCCAAGACATATTTCAAGTCACTGCATTCGGTGCCAAAGAATATACGCTCCGTGGTCTACTGTGTATCACTGCGAGAGGGTGGCCAAACAGAGTTCGAAGCGCTGTATCAGAAGTTCAAGGGTGAAACGGTGGCCACCGAGGAGACGTTGCTGCAGAATTCCTTCGGCTGCGTGAGGGAGCAAGCGCTCATCGAACGCGTCTTCAATCTGGTTCTGTCGGATGAGATTCGTAGGCAAGACAAATCCTCAGTGCTCAGCACCCTGTACACTGAGAACAACGAAAATGTTAGCCCCGTCTTTGAGCTGGTCACAAAAGATTTTGAGAAGCTATCTGTCGCGTAAGTAATTCATATATCTTTGTTAAATGTAAATTACATTTATAATTATTTGAAACAGCATGGGTGGCTACTCAGCGGTCGCGACAGTCATCTCGAACATTGCTGCACGCTTCACCGAGCAATCGCAATACGATGATCTGCAAAAGTTCAACACGGCCAACAGTGCCAAGTTTGGCAGTGCGGCAACCACGCTTATGACAGCGGAATCAACCGTCAAGGAAAATCTCGCGTGGGCCGAATCCAAACTGGGCACCTTCCGCACCTATCTGGCCCTGAGAAACGGCAGCGCTATGATCAGCGGTTTTAGCCTGCTCACCCTGCTGCTGGTGGCTCTTACCACGTTGCTGCGTTAAGGCCAGCAAAATGTGAGATTGGGAATGCTCGTCCAACAAAAGTATTTGTGCAATTATCCCCCCGTCAAAGTCAATAAATTATCCAGATAAGATGGGATTGAATAATACTAAGTATTGCAACACCGGCCAACATTTTAATAAAATTCAAGTAATCTATATGGCTTGAGACTTTGGTTTTACAGTTCATAGTTTATTGTTGTTTATATATCGACGAAGAACTTAAGTTTAGTTTATTACAGACCGCAGTTCAACATTGTAAATATTTGAGTCCTAAGCATGAAATTAAATGAATTTTTCTAAAATAAAATAAATATGAAGAGATTTTTAATGTAAAATAAGTCTAATTGTCGTAACTATTGTGGAGACTCTCAAGAGTAAGGACTTGAAAAATATAAGAGTAAAGACTTAAAAGCAATACACGTCTGTGCTCCTGATATACAAAGTGATAAAATCTTGGTGCACCCTTCACTAGAGCTTAGGAAATCGATAAATCGCAGATTACTCGTAAGTTAGATCAGCTACATTTTGTTAGTATCGTAAGACATCTTTGAAAGATCGGCATCGATCACACTAATGGAGAGCCATTCCGCACCTATAAAGTGGAAAAAACAAAATATTCCACAGCTTTCGAGGTAAATTACCAGAAACTCCTTTATAAAATTAACGAAAAAATGTAATTTTCACGTTCACTTTCGCTCTAAGAACACCCTTAAAAAAAGAAGAAACGACTCAAAAAAATTTCTTGCCACCTATAATCAGTTGGCATAATACAAGCAACAGAGTATTACGGAGTCGACGCCGTCCAACTGCAACTTCCTTAGTTGATATACGAGGTGTGTTCAAAAAGTATCGCGAATTTTGAATTTTCGCGGGTTACGTATATTCGAATTTCGATTTTTTTGTAGCGTTATGTTGGTACTCATGTCTCTCACTTATGCCGACAAGCTCGGCCATTTTGAATGTTCACTTAATTGTTGACAGCTGCTTTGCTTGCACGTGTTTTGGATCGTCTTCGATTTTTACCTATTCAAAAAAATGGATCAAAGAACCTGTATCAAATTTTGTGTGAAAAACGAAATTAAGTGCGCGGATGCATTCCGAATGTTGATTGTGGCATACGGAGAAGCTACCTTGGACCGAAGCAACGTTTATCGGTGGTACAAAATGTTCTCAGAAGGCCGAGAAGATGTGAACGACGAAGAGCGTGCCGGACGCCCGAGCACTTCAACAACAGACGAAAAAATTAATGGAGTGGAGAAAATGGTATTGGCCAATCGTCGAATCACCGTTAGAGAAGTTGCTAAGGAGTTAGACATATCGATTGGCTCATGCCATTCGATTTTTATCAATGATTTGGGCATGAGACGGGTCGCCGCGAAATTCGTACCAAAATTGCTCAATTGCGACCAAAAACAGAATCGCATGAACATTGCTAATGAGATGTTGGACTCTGTCCGCGACGACCCAAATTTGCTCCAGAGGGTCATAACTGGTGACGAATCGTGGGTTTATGGTTACGACGTGGAAACCAAAGCTCAATCATCTCAATGGAAGCTGCCGCACGAACCAAGACCGAAAAAAGCGCGCCAAGTTCGGTCGAATGTGAAAGTTTTGCTGACAGTTTTCTTCGGTTGCAGGGGCGTGGTGCATCATGAGTTCTTGCCACAGGGTAGAACGGTCAATAAGGAATATTACCTGCAAGTTATGCGCAATTTGCGCGAAGCAATCCGCCAGAAACGCCCGGATTTGTGGAAGAACAAAAATTGGCTTTTGCACCACGATAACGCCCCTGCTCACACATCGTTGCTTGTGCGCGACTTTTTGGCCAAAAACAACACACTAATGATGCCGCAGCCACCGTATTCCCCAGATCTGGCCCCCTGTGACTTTTTCTTGTTCCCTAAACTGAAGAGGCCCATGAAAGGACGACGTTACGCTACGCTTGACGAGATAAAGACGGGATCGAAGGAGGAGCTGAACAAGATAAAAAAAATGATTTTTTTAAGTGCTTCGAAGATTGGAAAAACCGTTGGCACAAGTGTATAATATCTCATGGGGATTACTTTGATGGGGACAAAATAGATATTCATGAATAAATAAATAATATCTGAAAAAACACAAAGTTCGCGATACTTTTTGAACACACCTCGTATATGAGTTTGTTTTTGCGTTGCTTAACTTGATTACAGAGGAGAATTTTATGAATTTGTGAACAACATTGGGAGAACAAACTGATAATGTCATACATATGTACATATGTACATGTATATGTAAGCAAATATCTCACAGTATAAATTCCTTTTAAAGAATTTTTATTTATGAGCTTAATACGATTTATGCTAATAAATTCGGGTGTGCCATAAAAGGTTTGAATCATCTCTTATTTATACATATTCGATGAATATATAGTACATAATAAATAAGTTAATTTAAAAAAAAAAAACAAGTAATCAAACAGTTTAAATCGAGCCCCTTGAAAATTAATTAAATTAAATATGTAATGTAAATTAACCATATTTTACAGTTCGTATTCCAATTTAAGTCAATATGTCAAAGACTATTGAAAAAGGCCTCTGACAGAAATAGGGTTAAGAGCTGCTCTTGCATTATTTGTATTTCGACAACTACAAGCTTCACCATATAACAATAACAAAAAGGTGTGTAGCTGCCTAATCAAAACATCGGCAGCTATTGTCCACGGGACCTAATCATCAAAATACATCATCATCTGTGTTTGTGTGAATACTCATTATCCATTAGCTCTTTCTCGAGCATTTCGGCCTACGCGCTTCGCGCTCAGTATTCAAGCAGCTCTCAGCATGAACAGTCTTGGGCCGGTCATATGGCTGCTCGCCGTCATTTTATCACTTTCAGTGATAGGCGGCGGTGAGTGTTCTGATTATCGGCTCAGTCGCAATGTGCTGCCCACCTTTTATGATTTGACCATCAGTCTACGTGGCGATGCTGAGAATCCAGAAGAAATATTCGATGGCGAGGTCAAAATAACGCTTCATGCGCTTCAGGCGAATGTGCAGCAAATCACGCTGCACAAGGACAATATTGACATTCTATCAAATGCTCAGCTCTACAATGATGCAGGTCTCATCGTAGAGGATATTGTCAACACTTCGATGACATATAAGCAGGAGACACAGCAGCTAACATTACATTTAGAGCAGCCGTTAGTCGCCATGCAAAGCTATGTGCTACTCTTCAAGTACACTGGTATAGTGCGCACTGATATGACGGGCCTGTTCTCCGCCAGCTATATAGAGGAGCAGACAGGCAAGACCAAGTGGATGGCACTAACACAGATGCAGCGCCTCAATGCCCGTCTGGTCTTTCCGTGCTTCGACGAGCCAGCTCTTAAGGCAAAGTTCCAGGTACACATTGGCCGACCAAACGGCTTGAATGCTATCAGCAACACAAAGTTGCTGGAAACCACTGACGATGGGTAAGTAGGAGTCAGTTAAATGGTTATTCTTGAATTTATAACTTATAGATTACGATTGCAGCCATAATCGTTTTGTAGATCATTTTGATGTGACGCCGCTTATGTCCACTTATTTATTGGCTTTCATGATATCTGACTATAAGGCTCGTGGCAATCTTAGCGACTTTGCTGTGGTATCTCGACCAGATTATTACAACAAAACGCAGTTCAGTTACCAAGTGGGGCAACAAGTGATGTCGGCCTTCGGTAAGCTATTCCATCAGCCCTATCCCGATTTGGGTAATCAGGCGCTGCTGTATGCGAGCTCACCCCGCTTTCCTCACAATGGCATGGAGAACTGGGGCCTCATTCTTTACAAGTGAGTTTTAGCCATGTAAACCATTATTTGTTACTTCACCATGAAGGGACAAAACCAGAACCAATTCAAAATTAAAGAAAACAAGGGCATCATGTAATTGTGTAATTGGGCAAAACTATTTAACAGACAACAAAGGATTATCCGACCTTTGAAAATAAATATATATATATTAGAATAGAATTTCACGAATTTTAATTTTAGTACGTTGCAGCTCTTATCGCTACGACTGGACATTAAATATCAATCACCAATATGTCATGACATCGCAATTTATTGAAAACATAGATAATATATTCAATTTACTTTTAAGGGATGCAGTGCTGGTACAAGATCCCGGGTACACGGACGGCTGGGAAGACCAGGAGTATTGCATTCGCATTCTTGCTCATGAGACATCACACATGTGGTTCGGAAACAGCGTTACATTTAAGTGGTGGAGCTACTTTTGGCTAAACGAGGCCTTTGCCCGCTATTATGAATACTTTATGGCACACCAGGTAAATGTCCACACAATTATATACTGGTGTTAATTTCAGCTGAGTAAATAGCAAGTTTAACAGCTTTACCCAGAGTATCAGTTGGACGAGCAGTTTGTTGTACGCCAACTTCAAATGATTTTTGCCACCGATGCCATTGCGACCGCCCAACCAATGACCAGCTCCGAGGAAAGCATACAAACACCCTCTGAGATTGGTTGGAAGTTTAGCAGCATTGCCTATGCCAAAGGTGCCAGCATTGTGCGCATGTGGCATAATGCGATGGGTGCCGAAAAATTTGAAAATGCCATCGGGAACTACCTAAAGGAGCAGTAAGTGTATATATCATAATATCAGTTTAAAAATTCACATTTGCCTTTTCGCTGTCAGCCACTTGGGCAACACTGAACCTAACGATTTGTTTGCTCATCTCAAAGAGAACTGGGCAGCACATGAAACGTTGGATTTGGATGAATTCTTCTACGACTTCACTGAACAAGTGGGCTACCCAATGATCATTGTGAATATCAGTCAAGATCATCAAATTATAACGCTGCGTCAAAAGCGCTTCCTCCTAAATCCCGGCGACGGCAGTGATGCTGATATACGCTATACAGTGCCCATCACATATACCACGAATTTGTCTCCCAATTTCCAAAACCTAACTCCGGAAATGTACTTTGAAAAGTCACGGGATATGGTGAACTTGAATTTTAACGATCCCATCGAATGGATTGTGTTGAATCTTAGACAGTCCAACTATCATCGAGTATTCTATGACACAGAGCTCCTCAACCGAATTCAAGGAGCCTTAACCAAAACCGGCCACAGTGGAATCGCCGTTGAGAATCGTGCAGCGTTCATTGATGATCTTTTCAACTTTGCCAGCATTGGAAGCATTGACTATGTTGAGGTATTTCAATTTATGGAGTATATGAGCATAGAAACCGACTACATACCATGGTACGCAGCCTTCTTGGGTATGACCCGAGTGGCAAAGCGCTTGACACCAGAGCAGCTACCGAATTTCAACAAATATCTAAGCGATATCACAGATGCGGTGTACAAGAAGCTTGGAGTGAGCTGGAGCTCGAAGGATAAGGTTCTCGATGTCTACAATCGCAACAAGCAGGTGGCCTGGCTTTGTAAGTACCAATCGGAGGACTGCAACAACCAGGTGTGGGAAAAGTTCGAAGCCGAGTCGGAGAAACCATCACCAGATTACCGCGAGACCTTCTACTGTGCAGCCTCACGATCCGGTGGATATGAGCGCGTCCTGGAGTTTTATGAGAAGGAGGTCGATCCCAGCACCAGAGAGCTTCTGTGGCGTGCTGCCAGCTGCACGAGGGAGTACGGTAAGCACTACCACGACAAGATCTTGGGTAATGCCCTTAGCGTTTCCTTGAAGACTATTGGCCTGGCTCAGCTATATGAGCAGAATCCGGACCTAGTAACCCCCATTTTTAAAATGATGACAGAGGACATCACCCAATTGGCAAATTCGTAAGTTGGAATTCAGAAATCATAGGTAAATTATATTTTAATCATTAACTACTTCTCGTGCAGTTTGGATAGCTGGCAAAAGACAGCCCAGGCGTTAAGCGATTTGGCTGACTATTTTACTACACGGGAGCAGCAAACTCTGTTCTCCCAGTTCATTGAAGAAAGCCACATGCTGTTTGGCAGCTCGTCTGACATACTTCGCAAGGCGATGACCACAGTGGACTCCAATCTGGAGTGGGCAGAACTGCGTTTGGGTCCCCTGGGCAATTATTTGATAGAGAGAAACAGTGCTGGCGAGCTTGCAGTGGCGGCAACCATGCTGTTGCTGATCTCTACATTCTTAAGTTTGTGGGCTATTTAAGAGATTATTTTTATGTATATTTTACTCGATAAAAAAATGCATGTCAGAAAATGAATAACTTAATATTTTACCTCTTCTGAACTTAATACAAAATTAAGGGTCAACAAAAGGTCAACAAAAAGTTAGAGTTGCAATGATATTATATCATAGTCATAAACGGAATTATCGCATATCGAATTGGGATTATTATCTTAAACAACAAATAAAAATAGTTTAAATAAATATTTCGTTTAATGTCTTTATTCTTGTCCATGTAGTAAATGAGTAACTTCGATAAGTTAAGCTTGTGGTTAGATTATTTCTGAATAATAATAATTCGTTACATTTGTAAAAACATTTTGGAAAATAATTTAATTAACAAAATTATTATATCCAAAAAATATTTTAGAGTATAGATTTTAATGAAAAATCTAGTGGTTATTAAAAATATCAATAAACACCGCAATCTATGTTCCTTAACTTTATTACTGCTTATCTCTAATATATAGTCACTATTATATTCGCGTGTTTGTTGACTGTTACTAATGCCCTATGATCATTATTAAGTTCACAAACAGTCATGCATTCTTATCAGTTCATTTATATTGCCAACAACTTATATAAGGTGTATTACCTTACCAAATATTTTTTCCCTGGAAAGTCCTCCTATTGCATTTCCTATCGAATGTATAAAATAATCTAATCTCTCACAAAATCACCCATTTCGGAGTTTTGAGCATAAATGCGTCAATATTAACATACGTTGCCGCGGTTTAACTCAGTATTGCAATCGCCTTCGACATGAAAAGTCGTGTTTTCAGAACGTGGCCATTGGTCATCTTGCTTTTACTGGCTTGGCTAAACTCCTCTGACTGTGCTAATTATCGGCTCGGAACCAGTGTAAAACCGTCTTTATACAACCTGAGCATCACTATAAAATACGATACTATAACTCCATCTGAGATATCCTACAAATTCGATGGAGATGTCGAAATCACCCTGCAGGCTATGGAGGCCAATGTTTTACAAATAACACTACACAAGGACGACATTGACATAACCTCTTGTTCGCTCAACAGTGGCGCTGGAGTGCTGGTGGAGAGCATTCAGAGCAGTAGTATGTCATATGAGCAGCAGACGCAGCAGCTAACTGTGCTACTGACTCAGGCGTTGGTTGCCAATCAAAACTATATATTGAAATTCAAGTACACGGGAAGAATACAGACTGATACGGTGGGTCTGTTCTCCACCAGCTACATGGATCCAGCGACGATAACGAAAAAGACGGTGCTGCTAACTCACATGCAAGCCATCAATGCGCGTCTTGTTTTTCCCTGCTTTGACGAACCAGCCTTCAAGGCCAAGTTTAAGGTTCACATTGGACGTCCAAGTGGGTTCAATACTATTAGCAACACAAAACTGATCGAAAGCACAGACGAGGGGTAAGCATTAGGATATAATTCTCGTATTTATAACTAACTAGATGACAATTGTAGCAACAATCGCTTTGTGGATCACTTTGAGGAGACGCCCGTAATGTCCACCTATCTATTGGCCTTCGTGATATCCTCCGAGTATAAGTCACGAGGCAACAGCTCTCTGGCCATTTATACTAGACCGGCATATTACGATTACACCTCGTTCAGCTACAGTGTGGCTGAACGGGTGCTTCCCGCATTCAATGAGCTGTTCCAGCAGCCTTACCAGGATCTGGGCAACGAAGTGCTGCAGTATGCGACTACACCTAGCTTGCGTCCCAACAGCATGGGGAACTGGGGTCTAGTTGTGCTCAAGTGTGTATAGAAGAAGAAAACCACAGCGATTGCAAAATGTAACACAATCTAATTGGCGTTTCAGAGATCAAGTAGTTTTGGAACAACCTGGCTATACCGACGGGTGGACACAAAAGGAGTTTACCATTCGCAATATAATCCACGAGAATGCGTACATGTGGTTTGGCAACAGTGTCACGATTAAGTGGTGGGGTTTCTTATGGATGCAAGAGGGATTTGCGCGCTACTATGAGTTCTTCATGGGACATCAGGTATGTATTGACTGAATTTTGCTTTATAAAAGTAAGTGCATGAATCACACAGTTGACCGGCAACGCGTGCTGAATAGATAAAGTCTGTCTGTTATTTTGAAAGTTGTATTTAGCTTTAGAGGCTAGATAACAAGGATGAGATTTAATGTAAATGTGATTATAATTAATAAACCTGACAAGAGTTAGTTTTTATTTTGTTGGCATAGATAACGGACTAGATAAACGTGTAATGTAACTTAGTTAATTCATGCTATAATTGAATCGTAAATCAACCTTACTTACAATTTTTGATATCGTAGGTTACTCTCAAAATATAAAAATATATAATGCTATAAGAACTGTGCAACGACTGAAAACACAAGTTCTGTGAGTGGTAAAATATTTTAGACAAATCCATTGGCTTGTCACACTTGAATAATTACCGAAACCAAATTTTTGTTGCACACTAGTTCCATCCCAATGAAGACAAGCACACAATTGCACATAAGAGAAATAGCTCTATTGATTTACTGACTCTCAAACTGTGAATTTAAGACAATGACCTTTTTGAGATTTTCATTTAAGTTCTTCAAATTTGTTGCAGATCCAGCAATATGCATTAAACCTGATTTTATTTGTAGAAAATTATTTTAAGTCGATTCAGACATGAATGAAGAACAATTCCCAGTTGAACTCATATTATATGCATTAAAATTTAATACGACTTAAATATTTCGCACATTTCATTGTAGTTATACCCGGAATATCAGTTGGACCAACAATTTGTCGTAACTAAACTTCAGCATATTCTTTCCGTCGACTCTGTAAGTAGTACACAGACTGTATCTTCCGGCGAGGCGAAGGTTGACACTCCCCAAGACATCGAAAAAATGTTTGGAAGCATCACTTTTGACAAGGCAGCCAGCGTTATTCGCATGTGGCGAAATGCAATGGGCACTGAAAACTTTGACAAAGCCATAGAAAGCTATCTAAAGGAATTGTAAGTGTAAATTCACTTAACCCAATTCTATAAATATCATTTGTTTTTCCTCTCTTAGCCATTTGGGAAATACAAGTCCAAATGATTTGGCTGCGCACCTCAAGCAAAACTCTCCTGATATTGATAATGTCACATTGCATAACTTCATTGGTGACTACACCATACAGGTCGGTTACCCAGTGGTAACAGTGAGACTTGTGCAAGAAGACAAAGTCGGCGTAATACAGAATCGCTTCCTGCTCAATTCTAACGACGGCAGTGATCGCAATTTGAGGTATACGGTGCCCATCACCTTTACTACAAATCTTTCACCCAATTTTGAAAATCTGACTCCCCGATTTTTCTTGAGTAAAATATTGGAAGATTATATTACGTTTACAAAACCAATAGACTGGATTATTGTTAACAAAAAACAGTCCAACTACCAGCGAGTATTTTATAAAGATCCGCTGATGGGCCGCATTCAAAAGGCACTGACAGAGATAAATCACAGTTATATTCCCGTTGAGAATCGTGCTGCTTTCATTGATGATCTCTTCAACTTTGCCCACGCTGCAATGATTGACTATGTCGAGGTATTTGAATTTATGGAGTATATGAGCACAGAAACCGACTACATACCATGGCATGCAGCCTATGAGGGCCTGACCCTAGTCTCAAAGCGCTTAACACCAGAGCAGCTACCGAATTTCAACAAATATCTGAGCGATATCACAGATGCGGTGTACAAGAAGCTTGGAGTGAGCTGGAGCTCGACGGATAAGGTTCTCGATGTCTACAATCGCAACAAACAGGTGGCCTGGCTTTGTAAGTACCAATCGGAGGACTGCAACAACCAGGTGCGGGAAAAGTTCGAAGCCAACTCGGAGCAACCATCACCAGATTACCGCGAGACCTTCTACTGTGCAGCCTCACGATCCGGTGGATATGAACGCGTGTTAGAGTATTATGAGAAATCAACTAATTTAGTAGATAGCGAGCTTCTTTTGCGCGCCTCCAGCTGCACAAGAGATTATCGGACGCACTACCAGAACATGGTAATATTAGGGCGTAGCGATGTGCCTGTTAAGCTTATCGCTCTCGCCCAGCTGTATGAGCAGAATCCCGACTTGATAACTCCCATTTTCCAAATGGTAATTGAGGACATCACCCAATTGGCAAATGCGTAAGTTCAATTTGAGTATTTATCAAACACACTAAGAAACTTTCACTGTCGCCGAATTCAAATTCAAATCAGAATATCAAGCACTGAAAATTACTGATAGTTTTTTCTGACTTATTGATTTTTTTATACTCCTGCATTGAAATATCATAATATCATAAGTCTAAACTAAAAATAGTGTCAAGCAATTGAAAACTAAAAAAGACTATCAAAAACATTATAAAATCTGTAATAACCTTTTGCTTAACCGACAGTTTGAATGGCTGGCCGACGACAGCACAGGCGTTGAGCGATATGGCAGACTATTTCACCACAAGGGAGCAGCGGACACTGTTCGAGAACTTCTATAATGAGAAATATGCCCTGTTCGGCAGCTCAGCGAATATACTTAGCAAGGCCCTAAGCACAGTGGACACGAACCTGGAATGGGCCGACAAACGTTTGGATGGTCTCAATAAATATTTGGCACAACGGAACGGCGCTGCTGGACTCGCCTTGGCGACAACGCTGATGCTACTGACCACGATGTTCTCAAATTTGTTGCTTAAATGAGAAAATGATTTGCCTTACGAGAATTGTCGTTGGTCACTCGTCTCATGCATTGACTAAGGATATTATTAGTAAATTGCATTTAGCGCAATATTATCTTTTTATTGCTGATAATAATACAAAAACAATTGCACCAATTGCCTCAATTGTACCAAAATCTTTTTGAATTAAAATTTAAGTTGAATAAAATAAAAAAAAAAAAAAATATTCGAAAATACCATTAAACATAATAACAATCGGATTCACCGGGTTTTTGCTAAAAATGTTCAGTTTTTTTCAATTAACTATTTTCTTTTGATTTTAAATACAAGTCATATTAACTAATAACCATGATATACTTGCTAAAGACGTAGATGATCGCCATAATCTCTGATCTGCTCCGCCATCATAATCGTCCCCAATTCTATAGTCAATGTACACTTTATTTTGGTTGAAATAAAATAAAAAATCGTGCTGCTGCACTCGGAAAACTTAGACTTAAACTTCTTAAGGTGACTGTTGCACCTGAATTTGGATACACCACGCAGAAGTTTCGAGCTAGGAGTGCACAGTCCGCAACAGCTGTCGCCGCAGTCCGCACATATATGGGCCATTAATTGTCAAGTTGAGCGTCGCAATCTCGTTGCCACGCCACGAGATGATCTACTTTCGGCATCTGACACGCTTTGCATGTGGCACAGATACCACAAAAATTGGACACTGTAGTCTGCGGGTTAAAGTATAAAGAGCATCGTTCAATGTTGCACATATTTGAGGGTTGAGATGATGCGATAAGCCAAATTGACAGGAGCATAATTAGTTGATGTCCGACATTTTGGTTAGAATCTGAAAAAGTGTAAAATTGGATTTTTATTACAGTTCGTTAAGAGATTAAACTTAACATTTGTTTTGCTATTTGTAAAACAATATTTACAATTTATAAAATATCGAAGACAAAGTATAAAACTAGATTTTATTACTCTTTGTACGAGAAATTAAATTTCATATTTGTTTTGTTAATTGTACAAAAATATTTATAAGATATGAAAAAATAAAATCATTTCAATATGTATCTACAAATTAGACTCAAAAACATCCTAGCATCTCTGTATACATTTTGAGATTAACCGTCTGCACCACAATTAGCGGTTGTTTGAATTCATTCTGGTATTAGAAGCAACGGTTCAGCACAATACATCTCACAATATTCAGTTAAGAGCAACCACATTTGAAAATTTCTATTGAAGGTATTGCTTATCTTAAATATATATAAGTTGTAATCGCGATTAACAATGGAAAAACGCGTGCGGCGTAAACAATCAAGACGCCAAAAAGCCCAAACACAAGTGAAAAGTTAAACATAAAAATGATCTGCAAACAAAATATTGGAGAGCGCGAGAGAGTTGAAATAATATGACATCATCAGTTTAAAGAGTCAATATTAAACCAAAAACTCTGAGTCTCAGAATAAACAGAGAGCATGATTTTATTTTGTACTCTTTGGCTATCAGCTATCCAGCGTTAAAGGGAATGAGTACTGTTGACAGAGCGTTGTGGAGCTTTGGGGCTGATCGCGTCATTATAAAAACATTTGTATGGTTCTTGTTGCTATATTTTCAGCCTATAAGAACAAGCAGATGTAAACAAAATCAGATAATGTAATATTTAAAGGAAAGTGTCAATGTCTAAATAATGAATGGTTTTCCAAATAATATAATATATACATTTTTAAATACCATTTAAGGACTTTGTACTTATTAAAAGAAAGATATTCATTTTAGTATACAATAAAATGATTTTATAATACATGGATGTTATTATGTATTTACTCATATTGGAAAGGAATATGCAGACAGTAATTAGAAGAGTTAACCTTTTAACTTTATTAAGAATCTTAGTTTTGATTACATAACAATAAGTGAAGATAAATATATTTTAAAAACCAACATTACACATTCAGATGCAAGAGTTAAACTTATTCTTGCATACGCTTTCGTTTATTTGTTTGTAGTATGTTTGTTTACTAACTGTCTCGCGAAAGACACATACAAACAATCGTGGCGTATAACACAATTTTCTGCTGAACTGCCAAGATAAAACATTCCTGTCCCATCAGCACTCAAATCTCCACAGGCGACTCCACCGGCTCTCTATCCAGTTCTTCATTTTTTTCTTGCTGCTTCTCCTGGCGCTGCTCGGTTCGGCGACGACGATGACGTCGTTTCTTCGGCGGCGGATTTGGTGGTGGGCTCTGGAAAGTATCCACATCAAAGACGGGATAGCGTGGCGTAAACCGTGATGCTTCACTGACCGTATTGGTATCCGTATCCGCGATGTCGGCGCTCATGAAAATTGCCTGCTCATATGTGGGTGGTGCTGAAATGGGAGGGGTGCAATATGTTAATCAATTATGTGTGCTCTAGTCTGGAGTCACCAATTTAAATAATCTTCTATAAAGTCAAGGAGGGAAATTACTTACGCAGTTCTGGCACTAAGTCATCCTCGGTGTCGAACTCATCATCCCCATCCTCAGGCAGTTCATAGTCCTGCAAATCCTCATTCATTTCATATCCGGGATTGTTAACGCCCGAAGCTAGTGCCATAGCTCGGGCCGAGGTGCAGGGCAAGTCTCTTGGCACAGTTGCAATACCCGAAGTAGCAACTGTTGATACAGTGGCTAGCGGCACATTGCCTATAGTGATGGGTATGACAACTTTTGGATTGGCCATCAGCCAGTTCATCACAGCCACAATGCGCATCTCGTATGAGACTCTCACCACCTTGCTAAGGTGCTCACATGTGGGCGCCGTTGCCGGGATGCGTAGCGATTCTGTATACGATTTTTGGGCATTATGGAGGACGGGACCACTCTCACGCTTGGCCAGTAGTATCTTTTCGGAGATGGTGCACAGACGAGGCGTATCGGCAGTGTAAGTGGCTCGCAGGTAGAGCATAATCATGAGCTTCCTGCAATCGCTGCTGGAGTCGTTGCGCACATCCGCATGGATGAGCATAAACTGGCCGGGCACATAGCCTTGCTGCTGTAGTGTAACCTTCATATGCACTGCCTTCGTGTGCATGAAGCAAAAGTATTCCATTGCCTCGTTATTGGCCGGTTCGCGGAGCATTTTGTTTTCGTGATTTAGATCGAGCAGTTTGAGCACAGTGAAGCCCACATTAGTGGTACGATTTGAGGCACCTGGACGTATGAATGTGACCTTCGCTAGATAGCGTATATGCCCATAAGCGCCCTCAAAGGAGGATGGGCAGTGACTGGGTATGGGACAGGCAAAAGTGTATGTATAGGTGCCTGCATCAATGGGTAGCGGTTGCGACTGTTCTGAGCCTATCAAATATGTTGTCGACGCTATGTAGTCCTCTCGGCCCATGAAGTAACGCCTGCGTCCAGGACGCACTTGGTTTGTGGGCAGTTTACGGCCATATTTGCGACGCCACTGGGCACATGCAAATCCGAAAATTTGTAGCTTAATACCTAGAAAAGAGGTAGTGTAGAGCTTTTATTATACTGGACTTTATTATATATAATATGTATCAGTAATATCTAATATTATCAACATTTTTACTTACACATTTAAGTCAAATATTTTAATATTTGGATAAATGAAAGAAAATAAAAACAAACAATTAAATCGAATTAAATTTCAGTTAAAGAAAGAAAAGTAAGATATATTTTTAAAAAAGTCATAAAGAATCTTTAATTAAAACCATTTAAATAAAAAATAAAAACCAGTTAAATAAACCCAGATATGTGATTCATGAATAACTTACAAAATCTGAAAACTTAATTAAAATGACTAATTAACTGTGTCATATTCTGAAGTAAACAGCAAATGTAATTCCCCTGTGTCTTGTGCCCAACCGCAAAAATACTTTTTGTGCTTTCTGTTTTGCATTATCTATATCGTGCATTTTGTAGGTCTATAACAGTTTTGGGTTATCAATGAATTACGGATATGATGGGTTTTGACAAAAACGAAACACATTAAAAAAGCACAAACACATATTTCACAGATAAGATAACAGCCTGCTAGGATAGCTGATAAATATACTCACTATATATGATATCGAAAATCAAAAAAATTGTAAAGTTAAGTCCCTGAAATGGTTACATACCTCTCAGTTTTTTGGTTTTATTCAAATTGACTACCACCTTGCCGGTTACAACCTGGCCCGTAAAATATGTGCCATGTTCATTCTGATCGAATGATATTATGCAGTTATTAGACATTTTTGTGACACCGATTAGAGCTCTCCGAACCCGCTCGCTGTTAAACGGCAACTGAGCCATTTGTTTTTGGTACAAACAATATTTGCAGGCCATAACAACTGTCGGGTGCTATCTTATCATGAAAAACTCTCTGTAATCCGAGACATGAGAGTTATAAAGACTTAGTCTGGCGCGTTGATGTATGGGTGCGAGAATATATTTTACTTTACGCAAGGTGCACAATTTATTATTAAAACTCGAGAATAATTAATAATTTAGTAAAATTTTTGCATTGATAATGACTCACTTAAAAACACTTGACGTGAAACCAGTTAAATACATACTTAGTTTGTGGAACATCTACATATGGTTGCATTTTATATTAATACCCATTTTTCATAAAATTTTTATCTTTTTATCAAATCGCTCAGTTATAGTATCTAGCTTTGCACTTGAACTACAATTACACATGTCAAATGTAACTTTTTTTTTTTATAAATAAGAATATAAGTCCAAATTATCGTATTGATAAGATAAGATTTGTCAATTCCTGTTCGACGACAAAAAATATGTTGTTTTAAATCAGTGTGATTTTGGCCAGCTAATCGAAACGCAGTCAATCTGTCGAATTTAGTATTTATTGTTTCAGTAAATAATTAGGAAAATATCTCACATTCTTAGTCATGGTTGTAACGTGTGAAATTAATCTTAAAGACAATCCATTCGATGTTTATTATGCGGGTCAACTTGTTTCGGGTAGTGTAGTTTTAAATACTGACAAGCAAAGGCTGGTCAACGGTAAGCAGAAATAATATTTCAAAAATAATAATAATTATTATTTTATTTAATTTAAAATTAAAAAAAAAATTCTTTAAAATTACTTTGTGTGCGTGTCATTATATGGAAACGTGATTCACTTTTTTTTGTTGATTATTTCTACCCGAATTATCTATTCGAAATTTGGGGGCAACGATGGAGACCTACTGGAACAATTGAGGCCTCGAGTGTCAAAAGCTGTTGGCTTCATTTTTTAATGAGTTGTGGAATAAAAATCAATGGCATAACTGCTTAAATATTTTGACTGTCGGTTGGCAAGCCAAAAAGAGTTTTATTTTGGAAAATTGTATGCCAAGGCGTTTATTATTACATGGTTTCATTGATGGACACAGGAATACAATCGCTCGGATTGTTTATCTTCAGATACCTCTTAATCACGTGCTCAAAGTAAACCTGGGGGAAGTACACATCGGAGCTGACTATTGTCAGCTTCATCTTGGAGCGCTTGAGGGTTATTTTGTAATTTCTCCTGTGAGTCCAAGACATGAAAGCCAAGTGTGTATGTACATAAACCTTTTGGCATGTTTCTATTTGTCCTTTCCTTGCTAAGGTGAAAAGTTATATAAATCACCAAATAAATAAATAAACAGCGGGGATGTACTTACGAAATCAGCTTCATCCATAATAATGCCCTAGGCAACGGTGGTCCAGTCAATGGAGAAACGAAGCGCATTCCTTTTGCCAGGAAGCACATTCTTATTTTTCGCAACCTTTCTGGACACAGGGGCTGGAGCTTGTTTTCGCTAGCTTTCTCTGTATCCTACAATACTATTAATACCTCTTTGTTTTCTTAACTTTAACATTCGTATTTATTATATTTTACAGCTATAGTTTTAGAGATTAAAGGCTTTGCTTGGACATATTGGACAGAAAACACTACTGATTTTGATAATAAAACAACATCCAATAGCTACAGTGGTCACGAGGATTATATAAAATCAAAAGTTCAGTTACTACAAGCTGATGGAGAAAGTAAAATCTCACAAAATTAAAAAATAAGTCCATTAGACTTACATATTTCATTTCTGTTCTAGACGTTGCCCTCGAGCCAGGCAGCTACGTTTACAACTTTGCCTGTCAAATACCTTCCGTTTGTCCATCATCCTTTGAAGGAAATAATGGACGTGTGCGATATATGGTAAATGTAAAACTCATCAGGCCCTGGAAATTTGATCAGGTTTTCTCACGTCCATTTACGGTACTGAAAGTAATGGATCTCAACCGAGTGGGACTTTGCTTAAACGTAAGTTTGGTAAATTTTCAATTTGTATACAAGCATATTAAATGAGTAATAATTTACTTGTTTTTAGACACCTGCCTATTCGGAGGACCAGAAAACTTATAACTGCTGGCCTTGTCGCTCAAAGCCACTCAAGCTGCAATTATCACTGCCGCAGAAAGGATTTGTGCCTGGCCAAATAATACCTGTCGGTGTTCTGGCCACCAACGATAGTCACATACGCGTGGAAGAAATCGAGGCTACTTTGGTCATGATGGTTATCTACTATAGTCAGTTCAGTGTGGAGACGATCAACGAGAGATTTGTAGTTAGCAGGAAGAAGGGCGAGGGCGTCACAAGAAACTGCAAGAAACAGTTTACATTAGATCTGCCCGTGCCGGCAACACCGCCGACCTGCTTCGATTTATGCCGCATCATCCAAATTGCTTACCAAATAGAGGTGGTGACCAAGGTTAAGGGCTGGCACATAAATGATCGGGTGCACATACCTGTGACTATTGGCAATGTACCGCTAACGAGGCAACTGACACAGCAACCACGCCAGTCTCCCATTGAAGTGGAAGTTGTGGCACAGCAGCTGGACGAGAAGGCGCTGGTTCTGGTTGATGATGTGCCTGATGAGGCACGGGTGCCTGTCACAAATCCCTGGGCTGTGGACTCTTCCATAAGTAATTTTACAATAATTTTGAATTATATACATTTCAATTCTTAATATTTTATAACAATATTTTAATATTTTACAGTGCCTCCCAGCTATGAAGAGGCCGTGCATGTGCGTGCATACGGAATTAATGCATCCAAGTCTACAGATAGTCAGAAGTCCTATAATAATGATCGAGAAACGCCGACAAGCACTCAGAAGACATTTGATAATGAAAATTGTCACTTTATCCCTCTCTATTCTGTATTTAATATGGTAAATCCAGCAGAAAATGGTATGAAAGAAGATATTGATCATAGTACATGGATTTAAGAATGCCTAACAAAGTTTTAAAAAATTGTTCAATATATAATGATTAATGAGTAAAAAAAAAAACGGACACGAATCCTTTTTTTTAGATAATACATTTATGCAGGGTGCCAAATTTTCGCTTCGAATTTAGTTTCCAAATACGATTCTGAAACAACAAGTATACAAATTACTATGATTATTATTTTTTATTATTTTCATCTTTCCAAGTATTTCTGTGTGAAACATATATCCGAAGGTAAAAAAAATCACTCTCAAGAAAAATAAGTGTACATGTAACGATCCGATTGTCTTTTGACTACAATTAAATCAGTAGTATTTCGTACTCCAACAACAGATATAATATCGACAACACGAGTATTCTAATATCGCATATTGGATGCTGTGTGTTGAATTCGCTGATAGTCCCCATGTTTAGGATTTGCACGATTGCGAGCAATTTCCACTTCAAGTGTTTTTTTCAATGACTCATTCTTTTCTTATCTGCAGCAAAAGTTTCGATAAGATTTGAATAAATTAATTTTATAATCATTTTGTGGACACTTCGAAAATAATGTGTGTCTTCTATTCAGGCTTCGATGGACAGATTTTGCTTATGCAAGGATAATTCTATAGATTATTATAATGGAGGTAAAGACTACATAGCATCCTAAACCTTCTTAGAGGGATCCAGTCAAAGTAGCACATAAAATTATTTGTATTATTGTGTGCGTAGTTATCTATTATCAGTCTTTCGAAGTTTACTGAGGCAGAGTACGCTGTATAACTACAGTGGCAGCGAAAAGGCCCTGAAAATTTTATTAAACCTATGTACGATGTTTTTTTGAGGTAAATCATAAACTCTGTTTGCAAATGTATATACAGTTTTTCTCCTTTTATTTTTGGATCGCATCAGTAGCTGATTTCCGAAAGCTCTTAGTTTTAAAGCCATAAAACAAACTTGTTTGTTTTTCTCAAATATGAAAGTAGAAGTTCCACGAGTTCACTGTCAAAATTGTAAAATTGTCATACTTAATTATGTGGCTTGTGTTACTAAGCTGATGGGTGATCGTCTGTCGAATCACTGCAATAAGCAGTTATCCTATTGGCTGAAGGTACCCGCCACGCCACCCAAATGTTTTAAAATTGCCTACCAGGTGGAGGTACAGGCTAAGCTCAAAGGCTGTTGTCGCACCGAAGTGATCAATATACCTTATGGGAAGTGTGCCATTGTCGAAGGACACGTACATTACTCGACGTGGATTGGAGGTTTAACCACTGCAATCACTGGATTTTGGGGCATCGGACATTGCACAAACCATTGATTATTACCTGCCCTGGTATGGATAGCTGCAAGTAGTTTCTCCCAAGGAGGTTCTTCACATGCGTGCTTAGCCCATTGTAGTTAATGAAAAAAGGCTACTGCACCGCCGAGTTCGATGAGCCCGATAAGAGAGGTTTTGCATCACTTTATCTTATATTTAACATACAAAGTCCTTCAGAGTCTATTTCGGAAAATTAAATATGATGATAAAACTTACAACTCTAATCATGTTGTTGCTCATTTTTAAGACGTATCAAACGTTTAGATTACAGGTGTGTTGATATGGCATTCCATGTCGATGTACTGATAAGTCTATAAATATGAAACTATATATATATTGACAGAGAAATTTATTAAATATATTAATATTGATTAGGAATTTATAGCATTTAAGATTATTTTATGTATAAAAAAAGCACTCTACATAAATCACGAATAGTAAACATTATTTTGATATTATTTTTTATTTCTCTCGGTATAAATTCAGATTCATAATCTACCCGTGTTGGGGGTTTTATAATTTTGTTGTCGATTTTGTTGTCAATTTTGTATTGCATTGCAGGAGACATCTCCGACCCCTAAAAGTATATACATATATTCTTGATCAAAATCACAAGCAGAGTCGATATAGTCAACTGACCGTCATATATCATACGAATAATCGGTCGAAACAGTTATTACATAACTAAACAAATGTGGAATATACTGTCCATACTTTTATAACACGTATAAAAACATAATATTTTAAACTCCGGAACATCTAGATGTTAGAAGATTTACTCTGATCTACAAGGGTATTTAATCTTGGCGTGCCAAGGATAGACGTTCTTTCTTCCTCAAATTTACAACTGGCTTGGTAAGAATACCAAGAATATATGTTTATGTTTAATTTATGTTTTCGCATTTTATTTGCATACGCTCATAAGTTTTCAAAAGCCCTCGAAAGAGTATTTATGATTCCTCGAAAAAACCACACTTCCATAAAGGTATGCTTGCGTTGCACTTGAGTTAAATTAATTGTCACAGAGATAAGATAAGAAATGTACAATGGTTTGGTTAACAGTTCGAGAAAAATAAAAAGAAATCAGTTTGTTTCATACTCAGTTTGTTTCTATCGGGCCAATAGGAACGTTTGGATTGTCGCGGAATTTGCCAAACTTGTCGTTATGTGAGAAATAAATTGCGTTTATGTTTGGCTTCCAATAGCAACTATATCAGTCGTGCTGCGAATTTCGACATGGCAATTTGTGTTGGCGGCATCACAAACAATAATACTAACTGCTAAAATATCGGAAATACGATTATTCTAATATCGCATAATGGGTGTTACATGTATAATTGAATTTGATGGCAATTCACATGGTACCTTCTTCGCAGGTCAAGTGATGACGGGGAAAGTGACATTAAAACTGGATAAGGCTAAAGTTATCAAAGGTAAGTCCCCGCTAATATTTAGTATTCGCAGTATTTTGATCAATTTCAGCTTCAAGTGCTTTTTCCAATGACTCATTCTTATCTTATCGGCAGCGTGTATATTCACGCAAAAGTTTTTGTGCGCATTGTAAATTTTATAGGATATACCAGTTAGCAGAAAGTGACTAATTCATCATTTAAGCGTAATGGCACGCGCTACATTTGATAACTTACTTTGTTGAGAATATTTTTGATAAGCATCTAAAATGAATTAAAAATAAAGGCTCAATCATTACTTGCAGTTGTCAAGATATTGTTTAGATATAAATTAAGCTCTTAAAGATTTAGTGGACATTTCGAAAGTATTTGTATCTATTAATAGAATAATAATTCAAAAATAATTTCATGGTTTTCAATAAATAAAATTAGTAGTGATTGGTTTTTAAAGCATTTATTCACTAAGCCGATGCGTTATTCAATAATAAAAACATCAATAATATTTATAATAATAATACAAAATTTTCTATACTCCATGTATTCAGCCCTCAGTTTAAACATTCGTGGATTTGCCGAAACTGAATGGAGCGAATCGAGAGGAACAGGAAAGGATAGATCCAAAGATTATTATCGAGGAAGGGAAGACTATATAGCATCCAAAACCTACTTAGCCGGATCCACTCAAAGCAGTAAGTATATTCGTTTATCTTCGAATGAACCTATTATCAAGCTGTACATAATCTGCAGCGCAAATATCGATTGAGGCTGGCGTTCATGTCTATAACTTTACCTGTCAGATACCCGCCATCTGTCCCTCATCGTTTGAGGGTTTCTATGGCAGAGTACGCTATATGGTTACAGTGGCGATGGAAAGGCCCTGGAAATTTGATCAGACCTATGTACGATGCTTTACGGTGCTTAAAATGATGGATCTGAATATGGAAAGTCCACTATTCAGGGTAAGCTGATAGAGTCATTAATGTTGTTGGAAAAATAAAATTCAGTATTATTGGTTAATGAAAATGCAAATATTTAGCACCAACCGCTGAGTTGATAATACAGTCTGTCTTTATCTATTAAAGCTCTTAGTTTTAAGGCCAGAAAGCCAAAACCTTTTGTATTTAGGGTAGAAGTAGTTAGTAGAGTGAAATTAATATGCTCATATAAATTTGCGAAAATACTGACAAGGTTTAAAGTTGTCGTACTTCATTAATTTTAAGAAACTTATTCTGTCTGAAACATAAAAATAATCTTCAGATATTATTTTTTAGTTAGCAGCTCATGTGGAGACACAGAAGTCCTATTGTTGTTGGCCCTGTTCATCAGCGCCACTACAGCTACAATTGTCGCTACCGCAAACTGGATTTGTCTCTGGCCAGGCAATACCAGTGAACATGACAGTTACCAACGATAGTCACATAAGGATAGAGATGCTGCAGGTCAGTCTGGCCATGGTGGTTACCTACTTCGCAGAACATTTTTCTCGCAGACATTCTCGAACGGAGCGGTTTGTTGTGACCAAGCTGATGGGTGATCATGTGCCAAATTATTGCAAGAAACAGTTCACCTATTTGCTGAGGGTGCCCGCCACGCCACCCACTTGTAATAACTTATGCAAGATTATACAGATTGCCTACAAGGTGGAGGTAGAGGCCAAGGTCAAAGGCTGTCATCGCAACCAAATGATTAGTATACCTGTCACCATAGGCAATGTGCCATTGTCGGAGCACTTGTACATTCAACAACGTGGAATGGAGATTCAAACACCGCAAACACTGGATGCTAAGGCTTTGAGTGATTCTGCGGCGGCCGCGTTCATTCCACCACCCATTGATTCTAATATGCCCTGGACCATGGATAGCAGTATTCGTAAGTACTTTCCTTGTTTTAACTAGTTCGCTGTATATAATCACATTTGTTTCTGCAGCACCACCAAATTATGAGGAGGCTGTTCACATGCGTCATAATCCCGATTCAGTTAATGGAATTAAACCGACAGCACCACCGAATACGCAAAGTTTGGATGAGAACGAATTTGCACCACTCTATCCCATATTTAATATACCAAGTCCAACGGCACCTATGGCTAGTACGGACAATGATGGTTTTCCAAATGCTGATGCGGTTGCAAACAAAGGAACTTGGCTGTGAACGGATTCAAAGATTCATCAAACCATATACAGGCTATTATAACATTACATTAACGTAATGTAGTCTTTATAATAACAGTCTTCATAATAACAAAAAGTGTACAGAAAATATGTTTGTAAATATATATAGAATTTGTGGAAAAAATGTTGGCAAAACTCTTATGGTATATTTTATCAAATTTCACTAATCCGCTCCCTCAAACCTTCGTCTGCTTGTCTGGTTGCTTCTAAGCATTATCAAGACTTCAGCCGTCTGCATAAAAATGAGCATGACATAGACCACTGTCAAGGTCTGCGCTCTTGTGATAAGTTAAAACACACCTTAGGTAAATATTTCAGCTCCTATAAATTCATATTCCAATTCCATTTTGTACTATTTACAGTCACTAACGCTTTCCGACCTTATCGCTTATCAAATTCAACACGCACAACAGCAGAGTCCGCGATACCGATAGAGAATCGCCCGAGTGCGTTCTCAACTCGCACCTACTTAATTTAGTCGCTATTTGTTGTGCAAGCTAAATGCGGTGTTTCGGACTCTCACGAGTTGTGCTTGAAAACATTGTGTGATTTAGTGCGAGATTGAAATGGTTGTTACGTGCGAGATCACTTTCGATAATAATCGGCAAGGCACTTTCTTTGCTGGGCAGTTAGTTAGCGGATGTATTATTCTAAAGTCGGATAAAATTAAGGAAGTGCAAGGTATACAGAATCCAGAACACATTAAATTATCAGTTTGGGAAATGTCAAGAGCTGTGGGTTTTACGCATCGGGAATTCAAATATCCGCAAACTAAAAGGGTTATAAATACTCGGAACGATAACGATAACTGATAGACGAAATCAATCAATATATATACATATATACATATATATACATATATATATTCGTTTATGACGACATTAATTAAGATAAGAATTTTGTTGTGCGTGAAGGAATGTGAAAAGTTTCTTAAATACGCGCTGTATATAAATAAGCATGAGGTTTTAAGTCAACTATGCCTCGGCGAAACATACCTTAAGTGCTTAACTCGTCAAATTGTTGTTGATTAATTATCATATGATAATAAATAATATGTACCTTAACCTTAACTAGACTTTGCAAAGAGGAACTAATAATGTTAATTGTCTAACTAAAATATATTTCTAAGTGACTTATTAGCAAGTTTGAGTTATTAAACAATTAAAATCCTCTTTGAATGGTCAATATAACTCCGCGGAAGAGGCATTAGTTGCCAAGATTATACTACAGAGGTCATTTATAAAATGCGATAAAAAAAAAGTAATTGGTCGATACTTGCCAGGAATTAGTTTATGGTCATGCTGATTTTTATGAATACTATTTTTGATTTTCTTTACAATGTATTGAAATAACCAAAGAAATAAAAATATTTGAAATATTATATTTTATAAAATTTGTATAACTCATCATAAGCATTTCAAATTTCAGTAATTAAAATATTATTTGAAATTAAAATGTAATAATTTTCGAGTGATCAGTATTTTTTTTTTTTTTTTTTTGTTGCTTTTTAGCAAAAACCTTTGGCAACTTTTCACCTGTTTGCTTATAGGGATTTTATCAGTTAATTTTATCATTCGTCATACTTATCTCTACGACAGCTGCGCTAGTTAAAGTCGTGGGCTACTCTGTAACCAAATGGAGCGAGAGGCGACTGGCAAACACAAAACTATTCTCCGGTCGGGAGGATTACCTATCATCGCAGACCTATATATTAGGCTCAGAGCAATGTGAGTGTAACTAAAAATCAGCGCCTTCAGAATATATTTTAAATTCGCTCTTAATAGCTACTGACAGACACATCATACAAGCGGGTGTACATAATTATAATTTTGCCTGCCAGCTTCCCTATCAGTGTCCTTCGTCCTTTGAGGGTCGTTATGGCTGCATACGCTATATAGTCAAGGTCTTGCTGATCCGGCCCTGGAAATATGATCAGGTCTATACGCACGGCATAACAGTACTGAAAATGATGGATCTAAACTTTGAAACACCGCAGCTCAGGGTTTGTATTGATAGTTGAACAGAATTACAGAAAAGTAAAACCATCAAACAATTCTTATATCTGAAAGTTACTTTTTTTAATGTAAAGATTATACTAAAGTATGTTTTTTTTTAGTTAGCCGCTCACAGCGAGAACTATAGGACCTTCTGCTGTGGACCCTGCAAGACGGCGCCACTTAAAATGGAGCTGAAACTCCCCCAGGCTGGCTACGTGCCCGGCCAGCGTATACCAGTTACTGTGCTTGTAATCAACAATAGCGGTGTGGCCGTCTCCGAGGTACGCCTCTCTATAGTCATGCTGGTGAGGTATTTTAGTATTACCCCCGAGCATTCTCGCGTGGATCGAATTATCATTGGCCGCGCCAAAGGCGATTCGGTGCTGCGGCGTTGCACGCGTTCCACAACGATTTATATGGATGTGCCTAGTACCCCTCCTACTTGCCTCAATGTGTGCAATCTGATACAAATCGCTTATCAACTGGAGGTGGAGGCGATAATCAAAAGCCTACAGAAGCAGCAGCTGATCACCATGCCAATCACCATAGGCACCTGGCCAATCGGTATTAACTCGGACTCGGGGGTGGTGCAGCAGCAGCCACCCAGACGCAGTGCTCGCTATGAGCCATCGGCTGAATTGCCCGTGGTGGCGGCTCTCGAAAACGAATTGTCGCTCAGCTCTCCAGGTTTGGATATGATTTACATATTTCTTATTTATTTATCAAGCCATCAACCATTAACGGTTTTTTAGCAGTTCTGCCTAAATTTGAGGAATCAAAACATACTCTGCGCGGCAATATCAACGAGGAAGAGATTCACGCCTTCGGTGTCAACGAATTTGCGCCTTTATATCCAGTCTATAGCACTCCCGATCTAGCGCCTGTGCTATCCGCCAACAGTCTGAATATAGGTGTCATCAACCAAAGCTATGAAAAGTGAGCTTTGGCGCTTTTGAGGCTTGTTGGTGAAGCTCACGATTTTTGATTAATATAAAATAAATAAAATGAAATATATTTGCGTCTCAATTACAGAGATTTACATTGTACAATAGGAAATACCAAAGCTGTTGATTTATCACAGTTTAAAAAGGTTGAAAACCTTACTTAGTATACAATATATACCAAAATACTTGTATAATACTTTGTTAAGGGGATGAAAATGGAAACATTTTCAACTGGTATATGAATATAAAAAATCGTTTGCTAATTCGTAAATGTTTTGAAAATGTATATTGTATAGGTTATACATGCCAGTGTTGTTAATGATGAAAATATATAACATTTTAATAAGGAGCTAATTCTGTTATATTCGCCAAGTGGAAATACCAAAGCTGTTTATTTATAACAGTTTTATTAAAAAGGTTGAAAACCTTACTTATTATACAAAGTATAACAAAATACTTATATAATACTTTGTTGAGGGGTTGAAAATGGGAACACTTTCAACTGGTATATAAATATAAAAACACGTTTTGCATTTTCGCAAATGGTTGAAAATGTGTATTGTATACCTAATAAACATGTGAATGTTATACATGACAGTGTTGTTAATGATGGAAATATATAACATTTTAATAAGGAGCTAATATTGTTATAATTGATTAATATATATGACAGTATTCAAGTTCAACCTAAGCCAAGGGTTGTAAATGTGGTTGTAAAATTGAATTTTGCAAGTGTAAAAGTGTGCGAAAATTCTGTATCTGGGATACTTTTTTATATGGAATCAAGACATATACAAAATAGCGTAAAATCAAACCATTTTGATGTGTGTGAAGTATAAATTTTATTACTAAATATATTTTGGTTTAAGTCTTGTTGAAAATGTACTAAAAAAAATTACAAACCAAACGTATAAAAGTTTTCATATAACAGTGCAAATAGGGGTTCAGATTGTTGCGAATTTATATTGCATTTCGGAAACTAACAAATTTCTAACAAAAAGCAACTTGTTGTATAAGTTCTAAAGTAAGCCAATTATTTGTAACACTGCGAGGTAAGCAGTGCACCCTTGTCCCAAAATTAGCTGTTAAGTCAATAAAATAGATTCCACAAATTTTGCACTGCTTTAAGAAAATAGAATTCGAATTTTGTTGTATAAAGACGCTTACTTCTTTTTTTTTAATGTTACACAGCTATTGCAGTCATAAAATTAAGATAGTTAGTACAATTGATTGTGGACAAGTCCTGAAAGACAGTTTGAGTTACACACATTCTCCTAACTCCATAGAAAGATTCCGTAGTCAGCATAATAGAAACATCTTTATACTCCAAAGAGTGTAGTACCATAATTGCATTTCTAGACATCGAAGGGGCCTTTAACTACGTTATCGGAACTGTCGCTTATGCGGATGATATTGCAGTTATCTTCAGGGGGGGATTACCCCAAAATTCTATATGACCTGACTAGTAAATTAAAAACTAGGCGTAAACCCCACCAAATCGGAACTCTCCCCCTGCCCTCAGACTAAATAACATAACCCTCTTCGTTAGTACCAGCGCCTAGGGCTGACACTGGAAAAGAAACTTGACGGGAACCTCAAAACCCAGCTATGGGTAAGGAAGGCAAGAGCCGCCTAAAATACCTGCAGGAGATTCATTAAACCCAAGTGGGGTATGTCCCCCAAACTCTCTACACTGGGAAGCCACTCTTTAATAAGTCAATCACAGTTAGAAAATATGGGATCGAACAGAACTGTGAAATTTATAAACTCAACTGGATGGATCATCGTGTAACCTAACTTACCTAAACACATCCTACAATGAGCACGTTGATTGTGAATTTAGTTTTAATCTGTCACATATACAAGGCGTAACATAAAAGTCTCAGCTAAGCCCCAGCCACGTACTAACAAGCTAACGTGAGGAACCAAACACAACCCAACAATCATAAGCTAAATGCTAGCGTGCAACATGTTTAGTTTTTATTACCACCTCAACTACGGGCAGGATTTATACTCAGTTGGGACGCGGTTTTATTGTCTCTCAAATTTGTATGTTGTTGTTTTTATGTGTGGTGCAAGTGTGTGTGAGTGTTAGTATGTGTGTGTGTGTGTTGTGGCCAGTGGCAGCCGCAACGCTTGTCTGTGGCATGGTAATGCTTCAAGCTGAAATTCAAATATAAAATGTTACAGCGTAGATGTACACATTTTGGAAAAGTTATAAGCAGCTTGCTGAGGTTAGAGCTGCAGAAATTTAAATGACAGTTTGCTGTTAACGTGGAATCAAAGTTGAACTAATGAATACAGCTAATAAGTAAGTCATTTTCAGGTGGACACAAGCAGTGATTTTAAGCCCACGGCAAATAACAATAGGAAAATATTTAAGTATCATTTAATCTACTTTAACATTTGTTACAGATTATATTAAAGCTGATTGCGATTTTAAGCATTTAAGTATCAAATGGCCCAAGCCAGTAGTCAGGCGTTAACAAATTTGCTACCAGTCATACTCCGCACACACTTACACACTTGCTGCAGACAAGTGCACAACACAAGTGCACAACACAGTTCCGAATTGGAATCCGAGCCCTAAACAATGTTTAGCTGGTCCGAAATTCTACAGAGCTATGCGTGTAAATAGCTAACATGATGGGAATTTGGAAGTAATTGGCATTTCGAATTGGAGTTTCGGGTTTTTGTGCACATGTAGTGGCCCTTAATAGAAACTAAGCTGCTTGTGTTGCTTGTTGCGAGTTTCAGCTTAAACAAAGGCATATTTCACGATCGCCTTTCTCTTGGAGGAATTGAGTGTTTCTCTTTTTAGACAGCATAAGTAAAAAACTTGTCGTATTTTGAATTTGTAATTTTCATCAATAACAAGGGCAGCTTAGCTAAATCTCAATAAATATTTGCTTAACCCACGTATAATTCTGTGTGGCTTAATATATAATTCAATTTATATTTATGTGATTTCTTTAGGAGATTTATTTATTTCTCTCTCAAGTGCTTGCAATTGATTAGCATACTTAAATTGCTTTTACTTTGCACTGATTTTAGATACACTCAAATCTTGTAAAAAGTCAGCTCATATGTGCTTGATAAACATGTTCTGCTTGACATATAACAACTGCACCAACAACAACAATAAAACTACAACAACTGTGGCAAAGTGTTTTACATATTCGATTTGTTACTGAACGCAGCTTTGTCCTTGTTTATCCATCTACTTTGCACCTTTGCGCGGCAATGCGCGCTACAACATTTTTTACGTTGCCCGAAATTCAAGCGCTAACATGAGTGTTGGAGTGTGTGTTTGTGTGTCTCTGAGAGCAGCGGCTTTCACGCGTTTTTCACTGCTGGCTGAATTCTGGCCGAGTCCTTGTTGTTGTTATTTGCACATTCTGTTTGCGGTTAAAGCGTGTGTGGCAACAATCACAAGTGAATTTCTTGCCACAAGCGTTTCCTTGTGGGTGTACACTGTGTGTGTGCGTGTGTGTGTGTGTGTGTGTGTGTATGTGTGTGTGTGTGTATGTGTGTATCGAGTAATAAAGATGAGTGGGTACTTGATGTTAGTGCAGCTGTTTTGATTTGCAAAGACCTTGACGTGTCTACAAGCCAAAGCAATTATCGATAAGAGTTACCAATGTATTCATTGATATTTGCTAATCAAATCGAAGAACAAAGAATACTCAATTGGTATTCAATTCCGTTGGAGGCATATCACTATATCACTCGCCAGACCGAAGTCTCATTAATTTGTAATGATAGTGAACAAAACACCATCCTTAATCTCCTTATAAACACAGCTCTTAGCACCCGCTAAAAACTGCTGCTAACTGATTTCGGAAAAAAAAAGGATTTTTTAACTTTTACAATGGCAAAAAGTTGTCACACTCTCGTATCTGCTAACTTTATAGTTACATCAGCAAGGGGAGAGCGCATAAGCATGTTCTAGTCGAGGGTGCTTGGCTATAAGATACCCTGTGCACAGCTTTGCCGCTTCCAATGAATTTTTATTATAGAGCGTGCACAATTTAGAGATACTTTTGTATAAATATATATATAGTTTAAAATATATTTTTTTTAAGATTTGTTCACTGCTCAATGTATATAAATGTATATTCATAATTTTATAATTTTGAATTTTTCTCATCCTATTTTTTAAATGCACTTGAAGCTATAAGAAAGCATACACGTAAAATTTGTCTTTTATAATAAATTATAATTGGAATGAAAATATTTATGTATCTTATCTTTTATGCAAATTGAACAACCTAGTCAGAGGCTATAAAATATTGATTTGATACAGGAACCAAAATAAAGTCGATTGATAAATCAAGTCTACGGCTCATTAACTCAAATAGATAAATATTTAAATATATAATACCAAAACTTAAATAAAAAAAATAAAATAGATAATAAATAAATAATAAATAAATAATAAATAACATAATAACAGAAGATGTATTGTTGCAAATTAGCTCACCGAGATCATACAGATAATCAGACAGATTGGATCTAAGCAAACTTTTTATTCCCGTTACATTCCCTAGGCAAAATGTTCAACACCCATTTTGCTAATTATTTGTCTTATAGGGTATGCAAGCAACAAAAATGTGTACTACGAAAAATGTTAGCTGGCAAGGGTTAAGCCAAGTGGCACAAAACAAAAGTTTTATATCAACAACAAACAAACCGCCTGATATGTGGAAATTGTAAGCCACTTTACAGGGCCGCATTTGCAGGAAGTAGAAGAGCCTAAAGATAAGCTGCACAGAATATATATACCTAAATGGTGCAACGCCGCTGGGCTTTATGGCGGAAACGCGGGGATAGTTCTATTCAATTAGGTTGGGATAGCAGGTGTGCAGAGGACCATGCTGCACATGGATAACTAAAAAGTTTTGACAGTCAGTCGAAGTCAAAGTTTATGGCAGATACAAAATCAATGCAGGTGCTATCCAAACCTAACCCCTCACCCATCTGATTGGAGTGCCACAATGTCACCAACGATGTATTCACAAAAATTTCATAAATCAAAGTGGTGCGGGATGCGCGTGCATTGACTCAAGTAACATTCGTGGCGGAGGGAACAAAGGAGCAAGGGAGTAAGGATTCAACTTCTACTCACGCCACAGTAATTGCCTTATGCTGTGAAGCGTGACGCGGTCAACAAGGAAACGTGAGCAAACCATTTTTGTTATTACACA